GGGTTTTACCTTACATTGTCCAACCCTTGTATGTTGCTATTAAATAAATTGTACAACAGCTAGTCCTTGAAGGAGAGTATAACCGCCCACTTCATTATAATTCAACACGAATCGGCGAAAAATTTGCTATTATTATTTTTTATTTGCGAATTTTACATCGTAATTTATGTTAACGAGCAAAGATTATCGAAAAATCTTGAGCTGTTTGATGAAGGCTACGAACATTAGTAATAAAATACTAGCGTAGCTGTGCTGAAGTATGTGACAGAAGGCGCTGCGAACATAAGTTTTATTGCCATTAAGTTTTGAAGGTTGGATGATGTTACTGGGGTAATCTAAAAAACAATATATTATTAGAGATATTACGTCGAGATATTAGAAATTACGTCGTATTAGAGATATTACGTCGAGGATTTTCCTGCTTATTATAGGGATATCGAAAAAGTGTTATACTTTATTGTGGTACCCACTTCTTAAATGTATTCTACACATTCTACCCGCCAACTTGCTCCAGCGAGTTGAACGGAATTTCAAAATCTACTAATGCATTGACAATGTGGGCCGTCATTTGTCCGATGTCATCTTTGAAAATAAATAATACAAAACTTAGGAAATGTATCATTAGAAAAATTATTATAATGATATCTATACTAGTTCTTTTCTTATTGAGCTGTCAAATCAGAAGTTTTCGTGAATCACCTATATAGTTATGCACGCGCTCATGAACGTCGGGAGGCTTTTGCTCATAATGCAATGATCGAGGCATGAAGCGAATTTCTCACATTGGAATGGTGAAGTTCTTCCACTCGTCGACTGACATGGAGCTGGATTCCCGTCCTTCCACGTGACACCAGTGATCAGGCACAATCGTTATGAATATCCTGGTGNATAGGAGCCCGAACTTTTCAACCAACTCACCTTTCCGTAGTACATCATTTATAGAGAACATCAACGGTTCAAGAGTTCCAAGATGCATTGGTTCCAACACCACCTCATCTACAAGTAGTCACATATAAAATGACCATTATTACCCAAACATGGGCCATCTACACCTGAGCGTTCTTACTAGGCGCCTGGACGCCGACATCCGTACCGTTACACGCATACCCAAACCACCTTCACAAGACATGCTGCGCTCGGACGGCAGTTATAACGTTTGCGTCCGGATGCGGCTGTCCCGAAATGACTCCTGACTGACGTAACAGACTGAGAGCGACGCACTAACATACAAGACACTTGACCAACTCTAGCCAGCCACTGTATCACGAGCGCTCCACTACCCATCGTCTCCATCAAATCATCATCAACAACGAAGTAAGTGAAAAACCGAAGAACCATAAGGTAATGACAGAACATTTGAGCGAAACTCACAACATAGTGAGTGCCTATTATTTCACCCTTCTTCGTGAAAAGCATCTCGAACGCATCGAATCACAATCAACCCCACAATACTCCCCGCAACTAACCACAGCTCTGACGGGTGCCCCCAATGAAACCCCTAAAAATTTATGATCAACCAAGTTATGCGCTGAGCACCTTTTCATAACTATTTTTTTCATTTCTCCTTCCTCTAACTGGCCACTCTGTGCAATTTTTTTTCACTCTTTCTGCACCACCGCACCGTCATTTACACCATTTATTTTTTTTTTCATTTTCATCGCCGTTTCAATTATCTAGAATATATTATCTAGAATATAATTATATTATCTAGAATTTAATTATCTAGAATATAATCATTACGTTCAATCGCCGCATTTAGCTATACACGAATCACTGGTTTTGCTTGGTGTAAAGGTAAGTTACATTTCTTGGCTCGTCTCGCTGCGCGGCACAGAAGGTTAACGTTCCGTAGCCACAACTCAACTCAATATAAAACCTCTCTGATCAAGCGCGCTCGCTGTAAAGAAGCTCTAGCCACACTAGACTGTCGGTTATCAGTACTGCAGCAGCACTCGTATCATGTTCCACGCGTATCTGATAATCATTTCCCATGCAATTAAGTCTTACTTTGTATATAATATAATCATGCTTTTTAGGCTATGATTTGTCGGCGGTTGAAAACTTGAACGTGCTCGGAATCAGGCCTAGTGTATTATGGTTCTAAATGTTTATTGGCCACAATCAATAGGTCTTTGAACCTGTTTCTCGCCTCAAACTCTCATCTTTAGAGAGGCAGCAAAATTTTACTGATTGAAAATTAGCAGTGCTAGCTTAGCAGATAGGATATTGATATCACACAAACAGATGAAAGAAATTAATTGATGTATTTTATCATATTTATTTTAAGAAATTTGCTTTATGAGGTAATTAAGAGATAAACATGTATCATTGATCTAAGTTAAATGATTTATAGTATAAATAATCTCTTGTCGAACATTATATAGACGAATTTAAATGCCATCTTTTCACGGCTCCCGACTATAAGCGCGCGTATCAAAGTGTGGGGGGTGAAACTGTAAATTATTGCATACATTAAAAAAAAACGTGAAATAAAGTTCAAGGACATGACGCATAATAGGCGAAGATATCATTATCAGCATGCCACATGTAAGCCAAATGTTCGCGAAATACATTAACCTGATTATGGTATAATACTTGAATTCTTGAAATGGTGAAAATTTTTCAAATTATAAACCAAAAATTAAAGAGACCCAACATAGCGAGTATCTGTACTCTAAACTCATGCAAGTATATAAATAATAATTTGCATACACCGTTATCTGGGTAATTCCGAAAGATTGAACTAATATATTTACTAATGTCCGGTGTCAAGCTGGCGTCTTATTATATTCATTATAATTATATTAAAAGATATGAACAAGATCACGTGATAGATCACGCGATAGCCGAGATTATATAAAAGGGCTGGGAACTCTAGTAAGGACCCAGCAGAAGCTAACAAGCGCGCCGCGATGTAACTCGCGTTAGAGTTCCCCGACCTTACAGTCGACGTCTAATTTATACCTAATATATCGCTCATGTACACCCATCCCGTATCAAGATACGTTCTCTAAGACAGGTGGAGTCTTACTTATCCCTCACGAACTTAGCGTATCCCCGATCCCGGTCCGCAGGAGGCGCATAACCGTGCATTTGGGACAGTGGCGACTCAGCAGATCGGCGCTCTTTCTTTCGTAAGCCGAAAGACTTGATGAAGAGACGGGCGACTACAAGCGACATACGAGCCGGCACGGGCGGCCCCAGCTGAAGGCGACTACGAGCGTTCCTACAACTAGTCAGCGGTGTCGTGATCCGGTGCAAGCGACTGGCGATTGCAGTGAATGCAGTCAGCACAGGAATCAACAAGAAGACACTGATTGACTAAGTCAGTTCCCGAACCTCAGAGGGCGCCACTGTCCCAGATGTACGGTTACCCGCCACCTGAGGACCAAGAAACGTGACTAAGTTCGTGAGGGTACCCAGATGCAAGGTTACGCATTACCTGAGGACCAGGATACGTGACTAAGTTCGTGAGGGATAAGTAAGACACTATCTGTTCAGAGAACTTATCTTGATACGGAGTGGGTATACATCAGTACAGGAGAGATATATTAGGTATAGGCTAGACATCGACCGTTACACGAGTATCATTGTCGTGGGTATAGTGGCAAAATAGGATGAATAAAAATGAAAACAAACGACAAATACAGACAAGAATATAACCTTGTGTTCTCTTCGCTCTAGTTCTTACTTTGGACTCGAAATTCGGAGCCTCACTGAAATTAATAGATAAACAAGCATTTAAAACTTGCAACAACAAAGGCAGAATATAATGCGCCAGATAAATGAATATCAGAATGATAAAATAATAATCAAGAACACCTCTAAACACCACCATTGAATTGAACAAGAAAATTATCACAAAAATCAGCAGACCAAATGTAAAGTATCGCGTACCTCCGTGGTGGATCACACAGCAATGAATAAGTGCAGAGCATATCTGAACGAGGTCACGTCCGAGGTGACTTAAAAGCAAAAAATCCAAATACCTAACTAATGAACACTCTGCGTCTCTAACAAGCTTCTGCGGGGCGCATTACCAAGGTTCCCAGCCTTTTATAGAATCACGGCTATCGCGTGATCCATCACGTGATGTTGTGCATAGGCTGACTCAGGTCTAGTACTTTTCCATCAATCTGTCAGGGGTCTATTTGTTTCAGGGGTCTATTTAACGTGTTATAAGAGGGTGACGTATGATAACCTAGAGGGTGATAGAAGATCACCTGACAAATCTCTATCACGTCTATTGAATATTAACGTCTCAATTACAGATGATCATATCTTATAATATAATTATAATGCAGATAAATGAGACGCCAGATTAACATCGGACATTAAATGTTTTCAAAAATTTCTGAATTCCATTGGAGCTTTCAGTTGACCAGCAGCTAACTAACCTCATTCTTTAAACAAACGAAATTACGCACACAGCCCATCACTGTCGCTTTCTATTAACAGAGTCGCTTCTTTTAATTGTCCCTTTCTATTGAAAATTTCTCACAATCGATCACGATTTATTCCTGGCCATCCTTGAGACAAGCGATTTCCTGAGCGGCGCTTTCTTCCGCCCTCGTTACTTGCTTATCATTGCTGCAGGTTTGCCCGTAGAAGGGCACCGGAGTAAACTTTTTCACGTTCCAGTGGTGGATGAGTTTCTTGAGAGGCCGGACCGAGGCGATGCTGTCCGCCTCAGCCAGGGTTTGCGGGAGCGGCATTGAGAGCGTCTCAGGCAGAGGAATGGACAGCACCGCGCAGGCGGCGCTCAGGCCCATCAACATCAGATATTTCAATCCGGAGCCTTCGTCCGCCTGCGAATTAATTATTCTGTTTCATCATAAACTATTGATAAAACTAATGTGGGACTCAGTAGTTAGAATTTGTTTGAAAATATCTGTACATAAATTTAAAATCACTGTCAGAACATGTTATTTCATTTCACAGAATTTGAATCGTACTTTATTGAGTAAGAAAGAATAATTCATTGGTCGAAATGACGCATGAAGCAATCTTTTTGAATAAGCGATTTATGAGGAATGTTGAAACAAACTACAAAATTTTGCAAGCAATCATCTGATAACAGTCAGCAACTTTATTTACAAAAATAGAAAGCAATGGACGTTGTCCGTACGTTAATGATGTATGGCGTGGCTGAGAAGAAGGCCGTCCCGAACACGGCTATGGTGCCCATGCCCGTGGACCGCATCGTGGTGGGGTACAGCTCTGAGACCTGCAGGTAGAGGCTCAGCAGGGCAGACGTGCTCAGCCACTTCAGCAGACTCACCACCACCAGTAAATGAAAGAGACGATCAGTCTTTTACATTTCTGTAGCGTCAGCTAATTTTCAAGAATATTGTTAATATTGCGAGGTGAGAGGGACGATTAAAAAAAGTCGGGAGCTGCTTGAGTCTGTCGCCCTTTCACACAGGGCGGCAAATACCGAAAACGTCCGACGGTATTTACCGCCGAACCTTGGCGGACATACAAATGTGCACTGCTGTTCACACACGACGGATTTTAACGCGGCGTAAAATTTGACGCCTGACGCCCGCGTGTGTACTGCTAAAACTGCGGCGGTATATTTGCAGCGACAGTTTAGCTTGCAATGGTATTCAATGTAATCTTTCGCACTAGGCGGTTTTTGACGCCACATCCTAGTGTCCTTGCCAAAATTTAGACGCGGCTGTCGTTCGGGTTTCGGTTGCCGCTCTCGGATTAGAGATGAATCATATGTGAAATGGCCGCCTCCCCTAATCAGCCGCCCAATAGGTGCTATTTTGGGTAGTTCCTTAGTAAAAAATATAAGGGTCAAATGACACGAAATCAGCGGCTGGCCAGGCCATCATTGGTTTGCCCTGCTCAGTAGCTGGCATGAGTTCTTAGCGCGAGCGTGGCAAGCCTCTGATTCAAAAACCCATGTACGACGCAAGAATAGGCGCACGAGTTTCTACACGCGTGCTTTTCACCACTCATGCATTGCGTGCACGTCAACGTGTGGGCCTTACGTTTTCTTGATTTGAAGTTTTTTTTTCCTAACGCAAACCGCTTCGAAACTTTAGGGTCGCGCCAGCGTTTGCACTAGCTTCGTTACGCGTGCAATGATTGTCCACCGGCAAGCGAACATTACGCGTGCTTAACTAACACGCGTGTGTTGCATTGTCTTCGACCCGCATGCATTCGACCCGTGTTCAATACGCTTGCGATACGTATCAGTGAACACGCTTGAGTTACGCTTGTGTGAACTCCCTTGCGATATGTGTACATGAACACGCATGCATTTCTTGTACGTCAAGATGTGTGTATTGCGTGTGTTCACCAAAACACCAACGTTTCAGAGGCAGTGGTATCAAAACAATCTTTTTTATACTCCCTAATATAAGGAGGAGTGGGAGGTTAGTTATCAACTACCCGGCTTGAGACAAAGCAGTGAGAATTGTGCTCACTGCAAAGCTCATCCGAATTGTGTAAAGTTATCGTGTATAGTGAAGTCAACATCTTGTAAACAACTCTGCGAACTGAATATTACCGTTTACAACTGAATATTACCGTTTTTACATTTTCAGCAATACAAATTCCTTAGATTTTGCTGTCCAGTGCTTTCTAAAGTGAAGTTCGTTGCAATACTTCTCGTCGGAAGGCGGCATTCATCATGACTACGCTATTGTGCGTTCAAGATTTTGGCAGCGGTAGAAATTTTCAACTTTGGGCATGTCGACACGAGCATATTATTTAAGCTGCTCCTGTTTATATGCTCAAGGTTCTAATTCTTAAATCAACGCGTCAACTGGGTCAATTTGTGTAATCGAGAGTTCATCATTGCCCACGATGCTACTTAACTAAAGCCCGGTCCACACGCTCAGTTTTACACAACGATTTGTCTGCGCAGTTCTAATCGTTACAGATAAAACGTTGCGTGTGGACGGGAAAACTGCGCAGTTTTGGAGCCGGCGGGAAAACTGCGCAGTTCCATCGAAATCTGAGCTACAGAGCATAGATTTCGATGAACTGCGCAGACAAGTCGGAAAACTACCGAGTAAAAAAGTAGTGTGAACGGTTGTGCGCGGTGAGGCACTGCAGCAAACGACTCAAAGCGCATGTCGTTGCCACTAGTGTAAACTGGCCTTAATAAGAAGTGGGAGGTTAGTTATCAACTACCCGGCTTGAGACAAAGCAGTGAGAGGTAGTTCGGACTTCGGACGCGGAGGCGCTGAGCTGATATTGACCATTGTCCATTGAGCAATAAGCAATTTGAGGTTTTGAGCATGAGGGCGGTGAGGCTGACATGAGCAGTGGTTTACTGGTCTTCGTCCCGTCCGGACGTCGGTAGGTACACGCATCTCATTCGAATTGTGTAATTTTATCGTGTTTAGTGAAGTCAACATTTTGCAAACAACTCGGTGTTAAAAACTGAATAATGAATATTACCGTTTTTACATTTTAAGCAATACAAATTCCTTAGATTTTGCTGTCCAGTGCTTTCTAAAGCGGAGTTCGTTGCAATACCTCTCGTCGGCAGGCGACATACATCATGACCACGCAAATGTGCGTTCAAGATTTTGGCAGCGGTAGAAATTTTCAACTTTAGGCATGTCGACACGAGCATATTATTTAAGCTGCTCTTGTTTATATGCTTAAGGTTCTAATTTTTAAATCAACACGTCAACTGGATCAATTTGTGTAATCGAAAGTTTATCATTGCCCACGATACTACCTAACTAACAGTCTAACAGTAGTCTATACTCTATTGCGGGTGGTCAGCATGTCGGCAGTCTCACACCACTGGGCGGGTCAGCTGATACACGATAGAACAGGTTGCAAAGCGTATTTTTCGCAGGTAAGTTAGTTGCTTTTGTTCCTTTCTATCTACTCTATTAATGGAACCTGGTGATATAAGTTTCATTATGGAGTTACATTTATGTATAAGGATGAATTTGGTTATTTCTGAATGCCTACAAATTATACAAGGATAGATTCAGGAAATTTCCATCGAGCTCAGCAATATTGGAATGGTATTAGACGTTAGAAATGCTGCTATTCTGCATTTTGCAGCAGTTGTAAACAGTATTTTCAGACTCCGGTAAAATTGTTTGCTAGACGAATGGTTTCTTCAACAAAAGGACTGTTTATATTTGGGTATATGTCTGCATGCTTGAGCTTATTGCTCAAGCAGAAGAGAGTTAAGCTTCTATCGCTTACAAGGAGCCCCTCTGTGAGCAACATATTTGATTTGAGGATTTCCATAACTATCGTATATTCTTCCATTTATTTGTTTGTCTCTCCTGGAATTTAGAGTGCAGTTGATAACTTTAATGCTTGAGAAGACCTAAATGTGAAACATAATACTGTCATTGCAGCAGCCGACGATGGATGCAGAAAGATCCTCATTTGCTATGAAGTGTGAACAACTGAAATCTGCAATAAGTTAGTGCCGTACCTCGATTTTGCTAAGATTAATATGCGCTCTCCATTCTATTGTGTTGTCTTTCTTTCGTCAATTGACGCAGAAATTCGAGGCCCTCGCAGAACTGTTTGCTCGATAGAAATTTAATGTGACGAAAGTTACATGACATGATACGGCAAATAATTCAACGATTATTTTAAACACAACGTTAATCATTCAGCAGGATTGATGGGTTTAATAGGATAAATTCGCTTGACTTGCATTACCTCGAATCAGTTATATTGATGTATAGATTGAATTTTTTATTTGCTATTATTGCCCTCATTTCTAACCACGCCATGTCAGAATAGTTACTAGCTGTAAACGTCTATGCATGGAAATTGAGCCTCTGATAGCCAGTGCTCGGGGCAGGTACTTTCAAACATTGCTAAGTGGACGTAACTTTTTGAACTTTAAGCCGCATTAAGCCGCTACGAGCACTTAGCAAAGTTTCGTAAGTACCTGCCCTGATCTTAAAAGTTGAAACTAAGCGGTAAGTACTAGACTGCATATATATATAGCATACAGAGATTCACATTCTGAATTTAGGGGGGTGAATTTAGAAGAACTGAAGACAAGACTCACCATGCCCGACGAGTGCGGCAACGCAGCACGTGCCGGCACACAGCAGGTAAGTCAGGACGGCTGACCACAAGAATAATATTCTCTTATATTGTGACATGAGGGGCGTAAAGTATAGGATCTGCGGTCATATTGTATATGGCAGTTATGTGAATTGTAATTGGCAGTTACCTGAAGACCACGATAAAAGATAGTCATATTGGGAATGATATTGCTATATCATAAGCTATAAAAAAATCATCAATAAAATTATAAACTATGAGCTAATACAATGCTTTAAATATATTAGTAGGATGAGGGCAACACAAATCATGTACCTCGTTGCATATATAATGTAGGAGTACCTAATTTTCAACAATTGAACTCTCTTAATAGATTTCAGTGAAGTGATTAAAAATAATAAAATCAAATAAAATTAAAATCACTTGGTAAGAATTTGCACAATAACCTGAGAGGCGCCGGCCGAGGTATTGCACACCGAGCCAGCCTGTGACTTGTGACGGGAACTCCATCAGAGAAAGCAGGAAGAAGTTCATGAAATAACTGTTGTCGATGAAGTTCACATCGAGGCTGATCACCCCGTAGACCACGTAGCTGGCTGCCCTGCTCAGCAATGCATTTCTTAACCTTAATCGAGTCGAGGTACTGGTGCGCTCTACAAGCTCGGGTGCAATGATTTGAGGACTTCGTTCTTTAAGGAACTTTTTAGTTGCCTTTCACTATACGCATGCAGCGACACATTTGCTGGTCATTTCAGTACGTAGTTTTCTATCCTAATCTAAATTAGAAAGTACAGATTAAGAATGAAACAGTAGCTTGCAATCATAAAAATGAAACTTCCCGCATAAGGCAACGACGTCCGTCTACCGTTTAACTCCAATTCATTGTTCCGTTTCGAGCGCTGTTACGCGCTGTTATCCGACGCCAAAGAAGGATATAGACATTTCTGTCGGACACCCTCTCGGTAATGATTAGTATCTATTTGCATACACAAGATATTATTGCGTTTATTTGATTCAGCGATATTCGAATTACAGAGAAGTAAGTTTTTTTGCCCATTCTTGTTAGTGGCACTGATTCAAACGTCATTGGTCATATACGTGAACATCAAAACATAATCGTAAGTGTCACGTTTTTATTGAACCATGAATCGAATTTAAATAAGTCTCACTTCATTTGCTCCGTGAATATTTCATCTCGAAATCTCGCGAACTGAAAGTTATAGCTTGCTACTAATGGAAAAGCCGGTGCATGAGGCTCATGGTTAGCTTTTATTATTGGTGCTTAGAAATAAGTCCCGTTTCTCATGCACACGACGCGATTGGGATTAACTTCTCTATTTAGATTAGGATTTCTATTTGGAGCTACATACTTTCTCAGAACCTCTGATTTTTTACTTTAAATAATTTCGAAAAAATATTTTAACGATCATAGCTGTACAAGCACTCCTTCGAATTTTTTTCTGTTGATTAATATTTTTACCGTTTCAATTATTATATATCCTATAAGCACATTTTTTATTTTTTTACACTCCTGTACCGGCTTAACTTTTAGCTATAAATCTAACCAATTCTAATTTTTTTAAAGCAAAAATTCAAGATACAAGTAATTGCAATAACCATAAGTCTATGGTGATTACAATCTTAACACCTATCTGTGAAGTTTCTGTGAAGTGCTACCTCTTTTAAGTAAGTTAGATGAACAAGACTACCGATACCTCGCTGTTTCATGCAACGCAATCAGCGGTTCAGTAGCGTATCCAGAGACACAGTCGATACTGACTGATTTTTTTTTTTTTCAGCAACATTTCTCCAGTGAATCTTTCCAATTTTTAATATCATTTTAATATTCTAAGGATTTTGAAAAGTGTAATCTATAAACATGATGAAAATCTGGTTGCTCTTGCTATCACTCTCATCTATTTATAATACGTACTCGTCACGCATACGTAAAACTTCGTGCAAAAGATAGTTTGAATAAAAAATTTCTCAAATTTCAATTGGCCATGTCTAAAAAAACGAAAACGTCTACCACTCAAACGAAGCATGGAGAAATATAACTTTATGCATAATTATATCTTACATTTATATACATTACAGTTATGTATGGTAGTTGAAACGTGGTATAGTGAGAACCAACTCAAGTTTCGGCCTTAAGAACGACCGTTAGAATGTATTTGTTTACATGAAAACGGCCTATACTTAAATTGAGCTCATATTGACGAGACCTATTTACGGATCATTAAAATACTAACTGGTCTTTAAAGAAACTCGCATTAAAGAACTACTTCTGTTCAACTTTATCAGTTTGATTAGAATGGTATATCGACCATACGACCGAGGCTGACTCGCCGCTGATTACGGCTTAGCCCCATCTTCCTCGCACCTCGTGCTCTAGCTGTCTAGCAGAAAGGGAATTTGTTTTCTAAATTTCCCATTTCCCTTCCCTGTAGATAGTGCTTCAGCACCGTTAATGTTCGGGGCGCAAGCCGGAGGACAGCTTTGCTCAACTTCAAACTTCAGCTCATATTCCTTTCTGTTAATTAAGCATGCTGGGAAAAATAGCCACCAATGCAGTCAAGAGTTTAAAGCCGCAAAGCCGTATGTCCATAGCCACCGCTTAAGCATACAGAAGTCAAACATGGTCATACTACATCTGGCCTAGCCTACGTTGGCCAAACCTTTTTTGGCCTAACGAACACAACTTGCAACATTTCTCCGCAAAAAAAAACTGAGCGAACCTAACCTAACCTGATAGGATGCAGGAAGTTTGAGAAGCGGGGCAAGTGAGCAGGTGGAGCCAGTCATTGGCTGCAAGGAAGTTGTGAATCATGGAACGGTGAATAGTTGAGGATAGAAGAAGTGAAGACGGATGCAGTCCAGTCTTCCAACGAGCGAACATGCTCAAGTATTTTATGAAGACCTATGGTGTTATTTTCTTTGACTAGTGTTTCACTGGTCTGGATTACTGTGTTTCATCGTAGTCTGCTTCTTTTATCGTCGAGGCTGAACGTTGGCTCCAGGGCTTATTTAAAAGTTAAATTAGTTGCCAGCAGTTCCGCCCCAAGTTTTTCATTGCATGCACTTCATTCTTTACACCGTGTTAATTCTACCGAAAATTCCCCTTTCATTCATCTAGTGCTCTATCACCGTGAAAATTCAAACTCAAATTTCCCTTCCTGTAACCCAGCGCTCTATCACCATGCCAATTCTAGTGTTCTACCATTATTGTATTTTGGGCGCCGCTACTCGTTCCTGACTCCTTGAACAGCCAGTAACTCTATACAAGAGGTCACTAGACCGATAGCAAAAAGCGATTAGTACCAGCCAGTTGGTTTGCTTCAACGTGTTTGGTGCACATTGCACAATGTACAAACACCTTTATGAGCAACATACAGTCTATAAAACAAACATTTTTTTGGCCTTAAGTTATCACCGTCAAAAATTTTAGATATTTGCCCAATGTCTTTAGTGGCTCTGCCAGTTTGGTAGCTTCTTGAAAATGACCAAAAAAGTTAGTGCTTCTGAACATATCAATCATAGGGAATATGCATGTTGGACTTATTTAGAATCGGACACAATGGTTTTCGTTCTTCATTAGCTTGATCCAAAGCTCGAATCTGCGCGTCCGATCAATACATCTTTTGTAGGTTGCTATTTGATAGCACCTGTGCTAAATACTACATAATAAGTATCAGATCATGAATACCCTCGATCTGGTTCACAATTACAATAATGCGACACTCACGAGATACAGCACAGCAAGATGACGGTCCTGCAAAATGTCGGATACCGCCGTATCTCTGCGAACGTCATCGCCGTCGGTTGCTGCTTCTCGATAGCAGTCAGCTGCTGCTGCAAGTCTTCCGCACTCGCTCCTGTCACTTTGTTCACCTCCGCGATCTAGGGAGCAGGAAATCATGTATTCCAATTAGTCATTATTAATTTGATGCGTTAGTTAGCAAAATCGCCTTACGCTACCATCACAGAAAGATTCAGTGTATATGTCAGATAGGTAATGAAATGCAATTTTTTAACCGCTGTTCCCTTCCTATTCATGAATTTGAGTACGTAAAAAAATTCGTCTATCGAATTGTTTTTATTCCTAAATTTATTTGTAATTTGATGAATACACAGCAGGAATCTGTTTTTTTCGGGAATTTGGCGTTACGTGCTTACAAGTTATCGCTGATGCGCTGTTATTTATATTAGTGATCAATATTGCCCTCGAAATATACTTGAAATAAAGTACATCTTGAAATAAAATACTCCTTCCAAATGTTTTGTGTCATATTCCCTCATTTATTTTAACTTATCACTCGAACCCTTTTTAAAAACTATGGCCAAACTGTTCCACCATAAACATCCATTCAAAGTGATATTAACATCTATGCTACGAATTTTTGTTTAAATAATCAATTTTTCTAATTTGCCACACCTTCATTAGGATCTTGGTGGCTTCTGGAGTTCTGTTCTTGGACAGCAGCCAGCGAGGGGACTCGGGCATCATCCTGCAGCGACGAAGAGATTCTCAGAAACCAATATTTTGTTAAATGTTATTGATTTAAATGCGATTTGTGAAGTGTACTCATAATAATTGTTATGAAATATATCGAAGGTATACATCGGAAACAAGAATTGGATAAGTAAATTACCACAAATAATTTTTGGGTCATTAAATTCAACCATGAACCTAGGCAGTGACCCTCGGAGTCGGTGTAGGCCACCATCAGAGGCGTTAAGGTCGGGGCCCTGATCATTGACATGAAACCATTCCCTGTTTTTAATTAATAAAATCAATTCATTTTTTTTTATTAATAAAAAATATTCAAATGAAACCCCTAAATCAAAAACAATTCTCTACATATTGCTAGGTATACGATAGAGCTTTTTGATCAAAGATGAAGACAATATGGTTCGGCTGGGTCCAAACGTTGGCGTTGTCGGTGCTTAGTAGTCATGAAATCCTATATTGGTAAGGTGGCTGGCAACGAGACTTGAAGGAACTCAGGCTGTCATACACGTGAACCTAGCGGATGAACGCAGTAATGTTAGACGCGCTAGAACTCTTAATATCCAACGGTCGATGCCCAGTAGCAACATCCAGTCGCGCTGGTCAAACAATTTATAGTCATTCAGCTTGCATGAACGATCGTCCAGGCGGAAGGCTGAGCCGGTGGCAGGACCATAATCGAGGCTGGTCCTCTGGGTCTGCCGGGCACGGTTGATGCCACGGTTCGATATAAGACAAAAGGTGCATAATATACACGGGGCTAGTATTAGCTGCTAGTTTTGGCTGTGAGCTTTCACATTCCTAGTTTTGCCGGCTGAAACCCTATACACGAGGAGAATATTTGGTAAACAGTCCGCAGTTGCCAGTGCGTCGTTGGAGTTTGTGTGTGCGCGTGAAGGCATCTTACACATCGTACAAGTCACCCAACCCCAACCAAGCATCTACCCACGGACTCCACGCGTCTGCGGCATTTGGGGTGTAGGATTTCAAGTCGGGTAATGTTGGAACTCCTCAACCATTTTCCACTTTTTCTCAAATAATAACCTTCAAATAATTAATGCACGGTAAAGTATTATTCAGAATGAGAGAAATGGATTTGAAAATTAATGCTTTTTATGATTTTACCGCAGCAAATCTCACCATTGCATGGCGGTGAGGGGATCGGGGGTGAGGACGTGTCCAGCCACGCCCGTACAGGAGGCGACTCAATCGAAAGTGAAGCAAACGTTCAACATTAGCTCCGAGTAATGAAATGCGTGGGAACGATAGAAAATGGGTGACCAACAGCCAGCAGAAAGTCGGGCCGACAAGTATGTAGCGAACGTGCACCACATGTCCCACCAAAACATAGCGAACATGCACCACTAGTCCCACCAAAACATAGCGAACATGCACCACTAGTCCCACCAGTACACAGCGAACATGCACCACTAGTCCCACCAGTACACTGCGAACATGCACCATTAGACCCACCAGTACACAGCAAACATGTAAGAGTCGAGCAGCAGTGACACGGTGCTGATGTACCGCCAGTCGCCGGCCGCCCAGGCCAGCAGTGACGTCAGACACATGCCCACCGTCCACGTGGCGAAGGAGAGCGTCTCTGCGAGGGCGCGCTTGCCGGGGGCCATCAGCTCCAAGCCTGCGCGACATTAGGGCAAGTGCGCCGTGCGCCATGATTATTCTCATACAAGTATTATTGTCTCTCGTTTGTTTCAATCGCAAATTCACTAGAAATTTAACTCAGTTTCTAATCATTTCAATTTGTAATGTAGATTAATTGTTGATGAATTTTGCTCGGAGATTCAGGTATCTCACCGATGAGCAATGAACGACTTATGTTAATGTTAGTTAGCCATCTGACAAGAATCGCGCCTGACACGATAAGTCCTCTTATAATTATGTGTAGTATATATAAATCGACAAACGAACAATTCAGAGTACCAGATACCCGTCTTCTCAAATATTCCTCTCCTCCAAGAAAACGCTGTCCATAATTTAGAGCTCATCATTTTATAAAATTCCACGGTAGAATTTACACACATTTCATTAACTGTGTTAATTCCAAGTCCTTAATAATCGCCTTTACATGGTAACGTTCGGTCTGCGCATGCACGCTGTACGTGTGAAGAAAATCCCTTGTTATATTATAGTCTGCCTTATGGGTTTTAGTTTTATTCTGGTTTTCTAGTGACCTGCACGAAGGAAATAAGCAAAACTCCTGTTCGAATGCCGAAGATTGTGAGAACATGCACAGTTTTTACTCACATTATATTTAAGTTTTGAAAGAGAGTACTTTACCGTTCTGATATATATAATATGCTATACTTTTTATGAATCCAAGTTTTTTACTTGTGTAAATTGTGTTGTGTTTACATTGTTTGATGGCTTAATTCACAAATTAAGAATTTATAGCAAAGAAAGTGCCCGCAAATTCACTAGATTTTCATAGAAAACGTTTCAGAGCAGCGGCTTCGGAGACCAGCAGTTCATCATTAGTTAACAATACTTATATAGCCCTATGAGAATTGTTAATTGATAGGTTTTTTACTCTAATTATTTGCAATTTTTTGTTTTTGTTTGTCTCATGTAACATTTTTCGTACCAAGTAATTTATTACACTTTCATCAAGAATTTAACAGCAAAGAAACTGTAAAAAATATTTGCACTACCTGTTGTTATGCAATCGTCCCTAGTTTATGAATATAGAAGTTCGCATCTGCGTATGTCGGTATGACATAACGCAATTTTTATACTAGGCTGGCGGAACACAAAGGAAGGAGTTTTAGAATGGGAAACCTGCTTGAGCATTTCCCTCATTTAGCAGTACGCGTTCGTGCCAAGTAGTGCAATGTTCCGGTATCCGACAGCGATTTTAGAGGTTTAGCCTTCATAACGTGTGTTTCTGATCTGCGAACTTTAGAGTCCCTCAATATTTGTCAACAAAAGCCCAGTTTAAATGCCACCTAATGTTCACGTCCCCTCGAAATTGTAAATAGATGGGGATGTCTGCTCATGTTTACTTCATTTTTATTCGTTTTCATTGGACGATTCATGTTTTATATATTCAATGTGAATTTTAGTATGCTAATTATTTGTATTTGTGTTCTAGGTTTTTAAACTGACGATGGATCTGGACTCCGAAACGTTTTCTCTTATAAGAATTGGTCAATTTTCTGGCAGTTTTCTTTGCTTCTAAATTTTTGATGAACATGCGACTTAAGCAATCAAATGATCTTTATATTTATTACGCTTGTATTATTACCTTTATGAGGTGAAAATAGAGCTACACGTTGAAGTTTTTCAGTGAAAACATGGGAAATTTTCTTAACATTTGTTTCACATTAAAATTTCAATTCAAAAAAAGTATTTTCAAGCGAGTGAAAAGAATTGCGCGCTCGCAATCTTTCGAAAACTTATATACAACACAAAGTAGAGCACGCTTACACTGCATTGAAGTTTGTAGTTGATTTAAGTCGGTACGATTGAAGCTTGCTAAATTCAAATCGTTATTGCAAAGCTAGCCAATAATGAAGTAAGCTTTCTTCGGAAAGTTAACTTAACTCAAATCATCCCAACTCGCTCATCGCAGTAATCATTTAGATCATTTAATTGCGAAAAATGTTCAAATGGCATTTATGTATTTCCGGTTTTAAGATATAATATCAATAATGTGTCAGATAATTTCAGGAACTAACTGATGATGTAGCTCATCTGGTAGTTGGTCTGGAAGCTGCAGCCCGCCAAAAATCTCCAAACGAGATGGAGGGGGAAGTTCGAGGTGAAGATTGTGGCGAACTCGAAAATGAAGTGGAAGAAGATGGAGACCAGGTACATCTGTCTGCGTCCAGTGCTGAAATAATATGAATGATTACAATTAATTTAGCATTGAAATTTGTATAATGGGCTATTCCTGCAATATGCTCCTATTCTTCTTAAATATTTTTATTTCAATGCAGTTAAAATTCGATCCCTCTGAATATGACAAGGTAACTTTTTCCTATGGTCTGTAATGCATTATTTTGTGATGATCTACTTAGGTTGCTAAACTTATTATTTATCATCGTAATTAGGAGTGATTACTGCTCATCAGCGAAGGAGGGCATAATGACGCACTACTTATCAGCGAGGTAGGGCATGATGAAGGTGCTTATGCAGCTGCCAGCTATGTTCGCCGACATGATGTGCACCGAGTATAGCTCCCTGTCACACACCCAGTCGTTGGTGGTAGCCAGTGTCTCGTGCAACAAAGAACGATCGTACTCCCACGATGTGCAGCCTGTTTGTACACCATCAAATAATTTAATAATAATATAAATAAGTAATATCATCCATCGTTTAATCCCTGTGCTAAAGCGTAACGTTCCGCACCACTTTTGAGCTGACTTAGAAGAAACAGTTTACCTGTACGAGCTCAATTATTCGCCAGAATTATTCTGTCAGATGAGATTCCGAATCGCCAGCAATTTGGTAAGAATTGATTATTAGTTAATTGTTTTCATCAGACTATTTGTTATGTGAATAAATGTTCACAATAGAGATATGTTATCTAGATTTGTATTCTAAAAAATGTTGTCCGGTGTCAATCTGACGTCTCAATTATATTATATGATGAGATCATATAAAATTGAGACGCAAAATTCACTTGACAAGATAGAGATTGTTGGAAAAGTACTAGACATGAGTCAGAATCTGAAATACATCGCGTGACAGATCACGCGATCATGACCTTAGTTATGGGCGGAAGCTGAATGCTATATAAGGGCTGGTAACCTTAGTAAGAGCCCCCGCAGTAGTTAATAAGCGCTCCGCAATGTAATGTGTCGGTTGAGTTCGCCGACCTTACTGTCGACGCCATAGCTTATACCTCTGTATCGTAACTCTTGTATTACCGCCCCGTATATCAAGATATGTTATATAGACAGCTGTGTCTTACTTATCCTCCATGACCTTAGTCACTTATGCCGATCCTCAGGTAGCGCTTAATCAATGAGCGCGGACAATGTTTTTATATCGATTCTAGAAACCGGTTAATAAGCACCTCGACACGCGTCTTCTTTTACTATCCTGTATGAAGCTAAAGGATCTTCATAGACATTCTTTCACATTCCATTAACGGTACTTTGTAGCACTATCTATGAATAAATTCAAGATTATTATATAGCGTTATCTCCATGTACGAACTAATCACGGTCAATCGTATCGACGTTCCCACAAACCACTCATAAATCGCCATGTAATAATATGAGGTGAGCAAGCAATCTGATCCGTGCTTTGCCCTCTTAACTGCTTGTAAAGAGCATTTGTTATGAAATGAAAGAGTAATTGAGGCAAGCTCATTTCAACCATCTCTGGGGCAGTGCAGAATCCAAATATGCAATCTGTTTCCACTCGTCTTTGTTTGGGTAAAGGAACGGTAAAAAAATCGAGCGAACGGTAACGAGGGTACCGGTAAGCGAACGGCAAATAGGGTACCGGTAAGCGAACGGCACATAGGGTACCGGTAAACAAACGGTAACCAGGGTACCGGTAAGCGAACGGTAGCCAGGATACCGGTAAGCGAACGGTAACCCTGAATTCGAATTCAGGGTTAATCATCATATTATGAGACTTATGGCCCAACTACAAAGTATGAACTAAATGTAAGTGATAGCATTACTTAAAGGTATACGTGCACTCAATCAACACTAGTAATTTTCTGACAGTCATTGAAAGATGTCTCGCAGGAGACGGAGGATGGTATTATTCCAATATCGTTTTACTCTTTACACGTTTAAATATTAGTATTGTATATTTTAATTTACATTATTGTATTGCCATGCAAATGATTTATTGCCTTACTAGTTTAAAAATTTAAAGTACTTCAATGGATTCGGATATCTCAAAACGTCAAAAATATCGCAACGCAATCGCAAAGTTTTTCTGCCACTGGGCACTGAAGACTGCATGGGGTCGTCACATCAGCTGTACAGTGTTGAATAGTTGCACTACACGTAACCACAAACTTAAATGAACTATGTCGAATCACTCGAATGTAAAATTTATGATCAGGACAAGTTTTGGGCTCCACGTATACTCGTACATCTGGCTTAAACCCTGATACAACGGACTAACTATAAATGGTGTAATTACTCAAAATCGACTTCCATCATTTGAGTCGCGATTGTTCAAAGAGAGCCACAAAGCTCACAGATGATTGATTTTATGGAAGTAATAAAACAGGTTTAAATGTAGCGTACGGGGAGAAGATCTTGTTGTAAACAGCAGTCAAAGCTTTTCGACTACACCGTAAAACCTAGTTCAAGAAGATGGCATGTTTTCAAGTACCAGGAATCGTAACGAATACTTGTAATTTAAATTTTCTTTCTTGGTATTTGATTTTTTACAGTACTATTGTATTCAAACCGGGTATAGTTTCATTATAAAAATCGCATAAATATAAGCAAGTTCGATATTTTATTTTCCGAGAACGCGACTTGAACCCGAATTTATGGCAAAACTTGAAAGTTAGAATCAATAATCGGCCTCCCAAGAATCCACAGGTATTGAAAAAAGGTGCAATCGATGAATTGGATAAATCACGGCATATACCACTGCGAATCTCATCAAGAACCATAAAGACACTGCTGTTGACTATCAAGATGAAAGCACATGACATTGATTATTAATATTGAAACTATATATTAGTATTTTACAACTATACGAATAATTGTTTCTGAAAGTGTTGGGGAATTCTTGCATGTTAAAAAGTTTTGAAATTACATATTGTTCTGAAAATGTAGTGTTATTTTTCTTACAAACTCCTTATTTCAATCAAATCTTAGGCTCATATATATTCATTAATTTTCGAGATATCCATTGCAAGAAAGAATGGAAAAGAAAGGAGTGCACTAAAAATTTATAAGTGTTTATAACATGTTCAAAAATTATGGTCTCAAATGCTAAGGTTTTTTCCCTTACATTGTCCAACCTCTGTATGTTGATATTAAATAAATGTGACAACAATTAGTTTTATCGCCATAAAGTTTTGAAGTTTGAATGTATGTTACTGGAGTTATTAAAAAAAATGTTTCTTAGACGGACAGGCAACTTTTACGCCGAGGATTTTCCTACGTCTCATAGGGATATCAGAAAAGAGTTATACTTTATTGTGGCACCCACGTCTTAAATGTATACTACACATTAGATTCATAATGCAAAGAGGTACGAAGCGAATTTCTCACATTGGAATGGTGAAGTTTTTCCACTCGTCGACTGACATGGAGCTGGACTCCCGTCCTTCCACGTGACACCAGTGATCAGGCACAATCGTTATGAATATCTTGATGCTGACCTGTGAGTGAGAAAATTTCAGGTTCTGAATCAAAACGGAAAAATTGTTTGTATGATCGCTCAGAATAACTTAGATTGGATCTTGGAAAATGTGATCGTTGTAACAAGTAATGAGTGAAATCGTTTTTTGATCCTGTATAAATCTACGTGATTTTTTCAATTTTTACGACAAATATTCTTACAGTTGGCGACAAAATTATTCGTATACCCCTTTCTTTTCAATGTTATTTTGAATAACCTGAAAATAATTGAATGCGTAAGCCTAAGATTTGATTGAACATAGCAGTATGTTAAAGGAAAAATAACGCTACATGTTCAGAAAAAAAATGTAATTTCAAGCCTTTAGAAAATAATTGAATGCATGAGCCCAAGATATGGTTGAACCAAGTAGGATGTAATACGGAAAATACCACTACACATTTTCAGAAAAAATTTAATTTCAAAACGTTTTAACATGCAAAAATTATCCAACGCCTGCAGACACAATTATTCGTACAGTTTGAAAATACTAACATGATGCAAAATTAATAATCAATGACATGTCCTTTCATGGGAACGAATTTCCGCCGGAATTGCAAGAAAGAAACGTGCGAAAAATGGATGAAAATCAAACTGTCGTCTAGTCTCAAGAAGTCAAGATGGTTTGCAGGTTCTCAGGTTCTCAGCCACAGGAGTCGAAAGATGTGGTAAGAAGATAAGTCACGTACATATAAATATGAATGTAAGTAGATATAGATGTATTTTCAGACATCCCAACTCACGAACAAATACTTTGAATTGTTTTTACACGAACTCTGACTTTACTGAATAAAAGAAGCGAACTTCTATCGGTAATGGAGAGCGAACGTCCAGACATTATTTGTAAAACAAAAATAATGACGAAAAAACTTTGGTGGGAATGCTGTACCAGTAGTGAGTCTCAGTTGCCAGGTTTTGATTATTTTCTCGACTTGTGCGAAGAACAGTTCAACAGCATTGCGGTTCAAAACTATTTAAAGGGCTCAGCAAGTGAAATTGCCTAAAGAACACCAATCAGCTAGAGAATCAGTGTGGTGCGAACTTTTTCTAAAAGGCAAGGGTAGCCTCTTCATAGGGGTCATATACAGATTACCAAGCAGTTCCTCTGATAATGATCATAATCATCCAGGAGTAGACTTTAATCATCCAGGATTAGACTAGGCAGGTGAATCCTCTCCAAGGGATGGGAATCACCCCGCATCCTTGTTCATGTAATCTGTGAGAGACTAATTTTCAGTCCAACACGTTACTAAGCCAACTCATTATAGGAGTGAACAGGCTTCACAATTTTTAGATCTTGTTTAAAAAATATCACAAGAAAAAACTTTATATCTTGTTTACTAACGATGAACCAATGTTAGATGAGCTTCGCCACGAGGCTTCGCCGTTGGCCAAAAGCCACCAACGGAACGAATGTCAACCTAGCAGCAACATGACGTCGTGTGTGAAGTGGGACTCGTTGAGGTCTGCCTCCATGCAGGCCATTCTTGTTGAGACAAAGCTGTATGGTACGCTGCCTCTGCTAATCTATTGGCATTTGACAATATCCTTCAACACAACACCACTCTTATATTCATATTTCCTCACGAAACAGTTTTCGAACTGATCGTTCTGATGGTTTTGACTTCCGTCCTCATCGGCATTCAGGCGTGTGTGCAATACCAAACTCTACAAACTTCTTTCTTTACCACCGACGGAACTGTGGATCTTAGAATATTCAGGCGCTTAAAGATGCACCATAACCATTGTCAGATTTGTGTTGACCAACAATTTTGCTACTCAAATACACACTGAGCTTCTTCGTCTTGCCAATCTTGAAGTTTGCAGTCAAATGGCAGGAACCGACACCTCTTGAATGACGTCACCGATAATGATGTCCTCCGGGATATTATCAGAACGGATACCACTGCGGATCCCATCAAAAACTATAGAAATAGACTGCTGGAGGTTATCAGGATAAAAGAACATGCCATTGATTGTTAATATTTCAACTATTTTACTATTTTCCAACTATACGAATAATTATGTCCGAAGGTTTTGGGAAATTTTGCATGTTAAAAAATTTTTGAAATTGCATTTTGCTCCGAAAATGCAGTGTCATCTTTTCCTATTACACACTTCTTAGTTCAATCAAATTTTGGGCTAATAGATTCATTAATTTTCGAGTTATTCAAGTAAACATTGACCAGAAGGGAGTGTACGAATAATATCGTCGCTAACGAAATTATCGCGATCTTTCTCCATTTTCAATAACGTCTCCTAAATCGGTGAGGGCAGCGCTAAGATGCATCTTCAATTTAATCATCTAAGATATCATGTAAATTTATATCGGTTAATGTCCATCATGTAAGTAAATGTATATCGGTTAATCATTAATGTAAAGGGCTACTGTTACTCGCGAATTTTGGAAGTATTTCACGAAATTTTCAAGGCTGAATGTAATCTGAAATGAGAAAAACTTACAATGGTTCGGTTAACTCAACATTTATAATATGTCACGAGCATATAATTAGCACAATATTAACTGAATATAAATCGTTGGTTACTCTATATTGTTCATTGAATTTAAAATTCTGAAAATAAAAACAGAACTGAGTCTAAAATTTATACACGCCGTAGCGTTCGTAAAATTAAGGTTTTTCATACGTAGAAGCTTTGAACATATAATGAAGATAACCTCATTCAGAAATATATTCGTTCTCAATCAGATAGCGCACGGGACATTCCCTATGGTCACTTTATATACAGGGTCATCAATATTTAGCGTTACAACTTTGAGTGGTTAGAACTATGAAATGAAACACAATTGTGAATGTTTGAAAATGTATTTATGCAGGCAGAGATTCAGAGATATAATTCCCACAATTTCATTCAATATGTCTTTCATCTACATCAATAACGAGTTGTAGACGCTTAGAGAAAGCCTTACACGAGTCACGAATGACAATCTGCGGGATTTTGGCCCAATCCTTCAGCAGTTTGACCTCTAGGGCGTCCAAACTGCTATGGTGAATGGTCGAGACCTTGCTCTCAAGGTATGACCAGATCCCAAAATCCAGATGATTCAGATCGGATGACGATTGGGGTCATTCATCTTTGGTAATGAAGTGGGGAACATTCTCGGACAGCCACTCCTGAGTCGATTTGGCCCCATGGGATGGTGCAGAGTCCTGCTGGAACGACCAGGGGCGTTTTTTGAAGTGCTTTCGTGCCCAGGGCAACAATGCACCAACAAGTATGGCATCTCCGCCATCTCGATAGTTCTGATTCAATTTCACCCCTTTGTCAACAAAAAAGAGGGGACTCCTTGAGGACTCTGCTGTTACGGCTGCCCAGACCATCACTGAGGTCGGGCATTACTTCCTAGTCACCACACGGGATCCTTCGTCCCATTCTTAGACCAAATTCGATCATTTTGGGAGTTGAAGTGGTGTTCAACATTGAATATCTTCTCATCACTGAAAACGAGGTTTGGCAGCGTGCCATCAGGAATGCGGGAAAGAAGAATCTTAGATCTTTGGAGGCGTTTGTCAACAACTTGAGCAGGCAGTTGGTGTTTTTTGACATGCTTGAATGGGGACAACTTTAGGTCCTTCCGGAGAACAGTCGACATGGTTTCATACGACACATTTGACTGTTTTGCGAGTGTATTGATTTTGCAAAAACGATGTAACGCTAAATATTGATGACCCTGTAAAAAATATAACTCAGTACTCTCTACAGTGAGTGACAGAGAGCATATTTTCTCGTCGACGAAAACGTGAAGTCTCGGACAGACGGACAGACAGACGGACATGACGAGCAAAATAGCGCCTTTTCTTCCATAAATGAGAAAATGCGCTAAAAAGCAAGCCAATAAGATTGCATGAACCTCATGGGTGTACATTATTACTTTTTCATTCTTCATTTTCATTCGTAATTGTTTTTAGAGAATCACAATATCCAAGCAGAACATGGCGATTTCGTTTTTTTCAATTCTTTATGAACGTTTTTACCAAATAAACTTTTCCGTGCTTAATTATTTAGACGCTCAAGAAATTCAATTTGAAATCTTTCCCGTAGATTAAGAAAAAAATGTCGGAATTTACCTGTTTTTGAGAACAGTTTATCAAACACAACATACATGCAATTAAACAAATGAATGATTTCAAACAAAAAAATACATTGCGTAAACAAGCGCCCTCTATTTCACTGAAAAACTGAATGAGAGGTATAAAAAATTGTTCAAAAGAATTCCATGTACACATATTAATGTTTAAATCATCAAATGTCTTTGTGTGAGCCATATGAAAATAAATTGATGTAAATGAACAAGAAAGCGATTGTAATATTTATTTGCCTTGCTGAAATTGTACAACTTGTTCATCCAAAAGATCAGAAAAAAATTAATTTCAATATTTAGCAGCATATTATGTTGAGAGCCACAACACATTGTTCACCTGTAAGCCAATGATCAACGACGTCATAGAGACCACAAAGAACATCATCCTGTGTTGGTAAGGGCCGTAGCTCCCGATAGACTCCAGGATCGTGTCGAAATCTTTTAATTCCATTTTAGACACTATTTCTAGTTTTTAGTTCTGGAAATTTTGTTCCTTGGAAAATACCAATTTCTAACTTGAAGTGGGGTTTGAATGTTTCAATTGATCACGAGTTCCAATATCACTTCATCTGAGCACGCTTAATGAAACATGAACAACACACACAATCCAATCATGGCTTCAAATCCAAAATATTGTCAAATAAAATACTACACCCACGTAACGAAAATCATCTCCACTGATACCACAATAGCACAAGCAGTACTCACCGACGGTTTCTATTTGAACAATACGAAAATCACCTCCTCTCAGTGTGCGCAAGAAAGATACACCCGCCTCCTCATCTGCTAAAAGTGCTACAAAATGCAAGATCACCCCACCTATCAATGCACCGCAATCTTTCCATCTTGTTCCGAATGTGCAGCTAACTACCATATATATACTCGATGTACCACCCCATTCAAAAAATGTTAAAACTCAAAACGACCACCGCGGGTACACTCGCCGTTAATTGCCTTGCCCATACCGCAAACAAGTCACTCAGACGAAATAATAAACATAGCAGGAGAAAATCCAGCAAAAAAACAACCAAACATACGTGGATATTGCGAAACAGGCTATTCAACAAACAAATACCTCACAGCACAACTTAAGTCTCACATCGAGTTTGACGTTAATTAAGCTTAAGGGGGAGGGGATACCCTCGAGAAAAACTTCCACATTTACTAACGGGTCTTTTTGAAACTTCACACATATACGTAACACCGAAATACAAGCACATTTTGTTCGTATACTTTTTTTTTTAAATTAATGGAAAACGTGAAATTCATAGAAAACTGACAAGAAAGGGGGTTCTTTAAAAATCTAACTCCTCTTACAGTTTTTAAGCTACAGCATTGAAAGATATACCATTCGATTCGTAAANGTATGGCAGACTAGGGCTCCAATGACCCTGAAATGTAAGTTTTAGCACTGTCTCTTATACACATCTAGATGTGTATAAGAGACAGTCCCCACACTCATCACTCATAGAAGCACTACATCGCCAGATCGAGTTCGCCAAAACAATATAGCCTTCCACAACATTCACCTACTACAACCCGGACCAATCACTCCTCGGATCACATTCCAATCATCGGCATCATCTCCGCCAATCCAATACAGATCCCAAATCGAGAACGTAAATCATTCTTCAGAGCCAACTGGACACAATACAAAGAGCTACTCGTGCCACCCAGTATCCTCAATGCCTAACCCGACACTCGAAGAAATAGACCGCTACCTCGACAACTGGACGAAATTAGTTCAAAACGCCACAGACAGAGCTGCCATTAGCATCACACACCGCATCATTCCCAGTATAAAACCGACACACGAAACTTCTAATTCAGACACAGTACCAAGATACCTTGCAACACATATTCTCATAGCATAACACAAACTCATAGCCCTGTGTACGCAACAATGAACCGCATACCAACGTCTCCAAACAACTACATGGCAGGAACTCACTACAACACTTCAGCAAGACCCTAAATAATTCTGGATTCAGTTAAACGGATGCTTGGCTCAAATAAGAAACATTCAACCCCCCGAAAACACTCAACTAGACACACCCCAGGAGAAAGAACCCATATTTAGACAACACCGGCAAAACATTTCGCTGAAACCGACAAAGACGACTCCAACGCTAAATACATCAATATCATAGAAGAACACGTGAACAACATCAGACAACAAACCACACCGCACCACACAGGTGACCTCTCTAGATTACACCCTATAAATTTCCCACCCATCACCACTGCCAAGCTCAAGCAATCACTTTGCACCTTCAAACAAATAGCACCTGGTCCCACTGGGATAATCTTCATGCAACTCAAGAGTCTCCGGAACATGATCCAATACCTTCTTTATATATGTGATCAGTGTATCTCAGCCGGTTACTTTCCTGATTCACTCAAACACGCAATAATGATATTCATCCCAAAACTAAATACATCACAACACCAAACCAAGAACTACAGACCTATCACCCTCCTAGAATTCCACGGCAACTTACTAAGCCAAATACCAGACAACAGACTCTACACTCTACAGCCACCTCCAGAAACACAACATACTAAACCCAAGCCAACACGGTTTTGAGGAAATACAGGGGCATTAGCTACACTACACGAGACCCTGGTCATACATTCAGTTAGAATAAACTTGTTATCTATCTGTAACGTACACTGCGAGTTTTCGGTTTCTAGCTTAACTGTTATGTCCCTTGCCTTAGTTCCCTGTAAGACAGGGTGCGTACCGATCCTGGAAAATCTGGAAAGTCCTGAAATTTGATTTTTCATTTTCCAGGCCTGGAAAATACTGGAATTTCATTTCAGATTCTGGAAAATACTGGAATTTGCAAATAAATAAAAAAGGAAGTATTTTTCTGTGCTGCGTGTGTCAACCCTAATCGCCACGGGTTGTCGTGTCACGCTACAACCTCGGGTACAAATGATATCTGCCCTTAATATTGTTAGGTATTTTTTAGGTGTCTTCTATTTTACATACGCTGCGATTATTTTACCAGGCATTACCATAGATTGTTTCCTATCAAATGCAGTCTTCAAACGCACAATTGTGAACTCGAATCCATTTTTGAAAATTATGAGAATGAAAGGACCGAATTTCTAAATAGATATCAGTTGAAGAGTATCTCGACAGACAAGGCTGTGAGATTAGTGGTTATTTTTTACGGTGGTTATTAGAAACTAAGGGCGTTTCCCAGCTAACCCTACGCGATTAGCGTTGAACTGTTTCTGCAGTCTCTTGTTTCTTGCGTTCTGATTGGCACGCATGAAATGAGAGTGTGTCACAGTCTCTTTGTTTCCTGCGTTCTGATTGGTTCTCCAATCACGTGACCGTCTGTCATGCGATTGGAGGACCAATCACGTGAGCTCGGTCACCGGGCTCGGTTGCATTCGGAACTATTTGACGTGTAGTGGCAGCGTTCCATCTTAAGCCTAAGCGTGCAATTTGTACATCGCCATGCGTGGAAAGTGTAAATTTCATGACTCGTGGTTAAAAATAGAAGCTTATCGTGACTGGCTTGCTCGCCATCCCAAGCATGAAGTTATGGCGATATGTACAGTGTGCTCGAAAGACTTCGATGTGTCTAATATGGGGGAATCGGCTTTGAAAAGTCATGCGAAAGGCAGCAAACACACCAAGTTCTTTAAGCAACACGGTGAAGTGAAAAGCAAAGCTCAGCCACGCATTTCCGATTTGTGGTCCGCTGACAGCAATGCAACTGCAGTTTCTTTCTCCAAAGTGTATAAGGGAATAGTCCGTCGCAAAAGTCAGCACGCATCAGCACTGCAGTGTCTACTGCCACTGTGATATGTACTAGAGACGGAGAGGAGGCCTGTATCCACTGCCAAAGCCAACCCCAATGCCGAACTAACCAGCTTTGTAACATAAGAAGATGTTCCGACGTCTGAAATTTGGTGGGCATTGGTGTTCTGACGTCTGAAATTTGGTGGGCATTTCCAGATTTGTGTCATTTTTGATCCTCTGTGTCTGCCCGCTCTATGCATTTACACGTTTGCTAGTTATCAACTTTAGGCGATGGTAGAATATGCACGGTTACTCTTTCAGTCATGCTAAACCTGTCGTATACGAGTCCTGGAAAATTATACTGATGATCATGGAGAGTCCTGGAAAAGTCCTGGAATTTTTTTTCTCAATATCGGTACGCACCCTGGTAAGAGGAAGCACCCGCTTCTGACATCGCGCTCTATAGTTTCTTGTCTTTGGCTTGAGCAGGTTCTAGCTGCTTTTAGTTACGATGTTAAGTAAACCTTCAGCAGAAGACTAAGCTTTCATTCAACCCAACAACCGTGATACAACCATGCCATCAAACAGCGAATGTGTAACAGGTTATGGAACCAGTCTGCCAACGAACTTATTATTCGACGGTAATGACGACAAGTGCGAGTTGTGGGAAATTAAGTTCCTAGCCCACCTTACGCTTAAAAGATTGGATGAGGCGTTGGAACACGATGGGGATCTTTTTTTTTGCAACACTAATGAGTCCGCCACGAGCTCAGGAGCTATAACAGTGGGGACAAAAATGAACAGCAAAATCTTTGCAGAATTAAAGCAGACTAGACGAGAAGAGCCGGTCTATCACTTATTTGCTGTGAAGCTAAGTATGATGGGCGGAGAAGCCTAAAAATTCTGAGAGAATATTATATGGGGAAAACATACCCTAGAATAATTGAGAACTACAATCGACTGGTAACACTGAAGAAAGAAGAGAACGAGCCAGTGATTGCCTACAACTCTACATCAAAGCCGAGAAAGCTGTTTCAGCACTCCAAAATGCCGGTGAGACAGTCTCTGATGGCATTCTTGTTTCCATGGCCTTTGAGGATTACCACCAAGTTATATTTATTTCCTGTAAATCTGTTATTTACCAGAGTAAAGAACCTGTTCCATTCAATGCATTCAAGCAATCCCTGAAATCTTTTGAAGAAAATACGCGGGAGGAACGCAAAGATGATAAAATCTTTGCAACATCTGGCAATACTAACTCAAACTTGAAGTGCTACAGCTGTGGAGAAAATGGCCACCGACAATTTCGGTGCAGAAGAAGAGAAAATAATAAGTGGTGAAACTACTACAAGATGGACATTGGACAATCAATATATCAAAGAATGTTGGAAAGAAAGGCAAATGTATGGTGCCTCTAATACACGGATGGTGAAGATGCCACCGTTTCCACAGCAACAGGCGGACATTTTGTGATGAAAGTGTCAGTGAAGTGTGTATAGATAATAAGTGTACTCTATAGGCGAGCTGAGCAATCTACTGCTATCATTGCTGTATGGGTTGATGACCTCCTAATCGTGTCTGACAGTGCTGACACAGTGAAGGCTATCAAAGCCAGCCTGTCCAACGATTTCAAAAAGAAAGATTTGGGAAAACTAGCCGGTTCATAGGTATAAATTTTGTGATTTCAGGTGATAAAATTACAATGAATCAATCGAAATAAATTTCTAAAGTAATGATGGTTTTTAAGTACATCTGTCATTAGGCAACGGTGTACCCATTTGTGACTAGACTTAGCAATGACTTTAGTAATAAGTGGCCGAATTTGTTCTTTCATACATAACTATAAATCACTTATACCTGTACCAGAAATTGTACCTCGTAATTTTTAGGAAAAATTCATCCTTACACAGCTGTGGATTTTTTTTTTTGCGCACTTGAAATTAGTATAATAATATAAGAATAATATAAAAGAGCTCTCGTTTAGGATCACGGAAATTTTTGGTATACTCTGCTTGTATTGATTACTCCTACCATTGTAATGCATTGATAAAAAATGATACGTTTAAGAGGGGGTGTTAGAATAAACGTACGTATCATCTATCTGTAACATGTACTGCGAGTTGTCGGTTTCCAGCGTAACTTTTAAGTCCCTTGCCTTAGTGCCCTGTAAGAAGAAGCACCCGCTTCTGCCATCGTTCTCTAGCTTCTTGTCTAGCTCTTAGTTACGGTGTTGAATAAACTTTCAGCAGAAGACTAAGCTTTCATTCAACCCCACAACCGTGATACTACCATGCCATCGAAGAGTAAAAGTGTAACACATTCCGCATAAAAACACAAAACACCATGCAGTCCTCCGAGACGTTTCCAAAGCTTTCGACGCGTGTGACACACCGGCCTAGCCTACGAAATCTCCCTACTCAATCTACCTCTCATTCACTAGATCACTGATTGATTTCATCACAGATTGAACAGCATCTATTTGGACATGTACATACCTGGGCCCCCCTTTTGCAGTACAGATGCGATCGGTTCCCCTGGGTGCTTGCCACTCACCCACGTTATACAGCTTCTACACGCACGATATATCGCCACCAATACCAAACACCGACTACCACGTACATTGCCTTTTTAGACGACATCACGTAATAGCAGGGATATTCACACACCAATTCGCAGCCCATCAAACACAACGCGCTTTAAAACAAATCAATGCATTTGAACAGAAGTTGAAAATAGAGACAACACAATCAAATTCAAAATTATCCCTATCAGCCGCGAAAACATATGATTTCTTCATTCAATTGATTAGCATTTCCCTTATGCAAATAAAGGCACCCTTCAAGGCCTGCAAATGACAACTCACGGCAACAACGCACTTCACTTCACGCCAGAACATAGCCCAAAATAAAAAAAAATTCACAGATTCGTCAATCAATATCATTAGGCAACGGTGTACCCATTTGTGACTAGACTTAGCAATGACTTTAGTAATAAGTGGCCGAATTTGTTATTTCATACATAACTATAAATCACTTATACCTGTATTTATACACTTATAAATCACACCAATTCGCAGCCAATCAAACACAACGCGCTTTAAAACAAATCAATGCATTTGAACAGAAGTTGAAAATTGAGACCAACACAACCAAATTCAAAATTATCCATATTAGCCGCGAAAACATATGATTTATTAATTCAATTGACAAGCATTTCCCTTATGCAAATAAAGGCACCCTTCTAGGCCTGCAAATGACAACTCACGGCAACAACGCACTTCACTTCACGTCAGAACATAGCCCAAAATAAAAAAAAATTCACAGATTCGTCAATCAATCCCCCGCTTACATTATAGACTATATATGGCCTGTACGTGTCCGGTCATCACTAATCTACCCTACCATAACCTTACACACTCTATTCGGACGTCAAAATTCAAACTCCAAACAGTACAAAACCGAGCCCTCTGTTTCATAGCTAACACCCACTGGTACGATTTGATCACCTCCCAATCTCTCCACGAATGATGCAATATACCCTCGATCAACACAGTCATTCACGAACAAGCCCGAAACATCTGGTGCAAAATGAACTTTTCAACTAACTCACCTTACCGCACCTTTCGCTAACTCACCTTTCCGAACATTTCAACTAACTCACCTTTCCGCAGGACATCATTTATAGAGAACATCAACGATTAAAGAGTTCCAAGATGCTAGCATAAGGCCCAACACCACTCCCATCTTCAAATAGTCACACATCAAATAACCATCATCATGCACATGTGGGCCATCTGCAGACTGCACCGAGGCGCTCTTCCCAGGCACCTGGGGTCCGTGATCCGAACAACTACACGCATATTCAAACTCCCTTCACGACGAGACATGCTGTGCTCGGACGACAGTTGTAACGATCGCATCCGAGTGCGGCTGTCCCGAAACGACTACTGAGTACTGAGTGAGGTGACTGACCGTCACCAAGACCGACGCACTACACGACAAGACACTTTACCAACTGTAGCCACCCACTGTATCCTGAAGCTCCACTACCCATCATCTCCATCGAAATCATTATCATCAACGAAGCAAGTGAAAAACCAAACAACCATAATGCAATGACAGAACATAAGAGGAACAACATAGCACCTATCACTTCACTCTTCTCCGCGAAAAGCATCTCGAATCCATCGAACCACAATCCACCCCACGATACTCCGCGCAACTAACCAAAGCCTTGACGGTTTCCCCCACCAACCCTAATCAAACTCCTAAAAACCTATGTTCAATCCAATTATGCGCTATGCCCTTTTTCATCTCCAACTAACTTTCATCTTTGCTAATTTTTGTTCTTTTCCACTCATTCCTAGTGACACCGCACCATCATCTACACCATTTAATTTTTTCATCACCACTATTTCAATTATCTAGAATTGTTTCGCCTAAAAATCATTACGTTTAACAGCCGCATTTATCTGTACACGAATCAGTAGTTTCGCTGCGTGTAAAGGTGAGTTATATTTCCTCGCTCGTCTCGCCGCACGACACAGGAGGTTCGATGTTTAACGTTCCGTAGCCACAACTCAACTCAATATAAAGTATCGCTGATCAAGCGCGCTCGCTTTAAAGAAGCTACTGCCACACTAGACTGTCAGTTATTAGTGCTACAGCAGCAATCGCATCTTGTGTGCTACAGCAGCAATCGCATCTTGTTCCACGTGTATCTGATAATCATTTGCCACGAATTTACGCTTTAATTTGGATGTAATCATGCTTTTTAGGCTATGATTTGTCGGTGGTTGAAGGTGCTCGGGAGCAAGCCCACAGTATGTTATTGTGTTCCAATATTTTTGTGCATAACAATCAATATGTTTTCAGCTTCCTACGAGAGAAGGACATGTCCTTGAACCTGTTTCTCGCCTCAAATTCTCATATTTAGAGAGGCAGCAAAATCTTCCTTACTGATTGAAAAATTTGCAGTGCTAGCATAGCAGATAAGATATTGATATCACCCACAACATATGAAAGAAATTAATTTGTGTATTCAATCTTATGTATTTTAAGAGATTTGCTTTATGAGGTAATTGCGGAAAAAACATTTATCATTGGTCTAAGTTAAATGATTTATGGTTTAAATTATTTATTTTCGAAACATAATATGGACGGAATTAAATGCCGTCTTTTCACATCTCCTGACCTCATAAGCGCGCGTATCAAAGAAGTGGGTGTGAAACTTAGAATAATCACATAATTACATACAATTACTTCAAATAATTACATTGAAAAACTCTTAATATAAAGTTTAAGGACATGACGCAAAATCGGCGACGCTGCCATTATCAGCATGCCACTTGTAAGCCAAATATTCGCAAAATACATTAACCTGATTATCATAGGGATATCTTAGTTAGTTGTAAGGAAAGGTTTGATAGGCGCTCAAATTTGTATTAAAACTGAATCTAGGATAACGATGACCTCGTATCGTTGAGCACAAAGTTGCGGCCAGAGTAATGGGTCTTCATCAATCGAGCAGCAATTCATTTTTCATCAGTATACCATCAAACGACGCAGCGTCAGGTTCCTAGCTTTAAAATATTGAAATAACTGGAAACCAATGATTGGGTAAAACATTCATCACAGTAACATGTTTCACAGCTATACCAAAACGAGCACAAGTAACATTAGAGCAGGACTCTGCAGATGTAGGTCAACTCTGTTATTTGATTGGCATAAATCATTTACTTCCGTAAGCCCTCAAATCATTCATGTGCTCACAGCGATGGCAAACACGCTTCCTAGATTAGCAACACGAGAAACATCGTTTATGCAACGCCTCACATTCATGTCACGCTATTTGCTCAGCAATATCTTTCTCGGACAACAAATTGTATCATTCTGAATATGATCGTACTTTACTAATCAGATTATTGACGAAAGCGATTTTCATACGCATCGTTTCTTTGTAGAAGTGCTCAGCTAAAAATTAACCACATCATTGTAAGATCAGGAGAACTTGACTTTTCTATTCAACTAAGCTGAGACTGAGTGTCTCAAGGTGAGACATCATTACGTTCTAATTCTTAATATGCTTTAAGTCGTCCGTTTCAAACGTAAATTCGGGACGTCATGCCACCGCCGGACAACTCTTCATCAGATCCCGAGAAATCCATGTTGTGGTTTACTTCTTCCTTCTGCTTGTCTGCACCACACAGAGAAATGCAACCACACAACTTGTGTAAGTTGCCAATAGCATTGGCCTCTGAAATCGTCTGAGGTAGAGGCCGCTTCATAGTCTCGGGCAGGAGGCAGCTGATTAGAGCACCAATGATGCACAGCATACCGAGGACGCAGTATGGCAGACTAGGGCTCCAATGACCCTGAAATGTAAGGTTTAGCACGCAGATGTACAGGGGAATTTGATCCAAGTAAATAAGGAAAATAGAATTGGAAAGTCGGTTATAAACGAACCTTGCAATTGAGTTCTAGTTGTCTCATATATATATATTTTTTAGTAAAAATCTAGTGCATAAAATCGATCCAATCAGGGTATCATGTGAGGTTTAAATATCCTTGTAAAATTCCTTAAACTTAAGTAAATGATTCTATACCGCATTTCTGGATCCCTGTTTGCAAGCTTGAAGCTTGTTACTGTAAATATATTCAAGTAAATGGGAATTTTTTGGGGTATTAGTTGTTTAATACGACTTAAACATATTACGTAAATATATCCTTACAACTCGCTGTCAGTATAGCGTAAAGAAACACACGAATATAAACTGTTCAAGCAATTTTCAGCTTAATCTGCTGCATCAGTTGGCCTGCTAGAATGGAAACCGTAAAATTGAATGGTGTCTCGCGGCAAACTATAGAGATTGACAACTCTTACAGCAAGCAAACATAGGTTAAACTGATAATCGTTTCTAAAATTAAATTACAAGAGCCATGATGGAAGGCACAGCAGCAGATGATGCTAGCCCCAGAGAGCCAGAGATGCCGTATGCGATGGCCCTCTGACACGTGGGAAAGAGCTCACCGACTTGCATGAACACCACCAACACCGTACTCGTCAGGAACAGCTTCCCCAGGCTGCAGAGTACCGTCAGTGGCAGCTGACCTGAGAACAGGGTGTTACAAATCGCTAACACGTTATAATCCAGTTATATTCCATTCTTAAGGTGATTTGACAAGTTACTAAGGCCAAACAATAGTATTTAAAATAAATAATGATGTCTTTAACAATGACCGACTGACTAGAAGTTGTAACAGACGCCAAGAAGCAGAAGCCAGCTGCGATGAACTGCGTATAGACTGTGGTAAGCCGGCGTCCAAGGAACTGGGCAGAGGCCATGCCTAAAAGGTTACCCGGGATATCCACCAAAGAAAGAGCGAAGAAATTTACGAACTCGTTGCTCGTCACGTTCCTGATGTTGTAAAGGATCCCGGAATGAGACACGCACAACACGCATCTGAGGAGGAATGAAAGATGACGTACTGAGTAACGTCGTCTTTGGGGCTGAGTAACGTCGACGCACTGAGCTTGCACTCTCAATTGAACCAGCCTGCAATGATGCGCACATATATAAGTTCCTTTATAGGTTACAAATATTGCCAGAGAAATTGTTTTATTAATACTTCTCTTATAGTTCGCCCTTATTTATTTTATTTTATTATTTTGTACTGTCGTCGATTCAGATTTCATTACTCAATGCGTCTAGTAACTTGATAATGATTATTGATTATTAATGAAAAAGTAAAAAATATTATTCGATACCCTGATTTTAGATTTAATCACTGCAAACGAGAAATATTGTTCAACATAATGAAAAAACTAGTAAGAAAATATTAATAAAGCAAATTCTTTGGTATATAATGAAACCTGCATAGAGGAACAAATTCTGCCATGTTATACTAACATGTATACAAATGTTTACATATAAGCCAAACTCTCACGAACTGATAGTAATATAGCCGGCAGAAGCTAGCTAAATATTTTTTGAACAGTTATGTTATATACCATAAAGATTGTGGCCTCGTCTTGTAAAGTTCATAGCTGAGATATACGGAACAAAGCACACAAGACGAATTAATGTAACTCTGCAAATAATATCATTCATATTGGAAGGAAAAAACGTATGATACGGCAATTTACTTTCAAAATAACTATGATTTAAAACTAGAGTTCCAACGTATCTCACGTCTTTAAAGTAACGATAATGATCCTTTTCCTTAGGTTGGGCACAGTGATGAGCGTAAGAAAGCGTGGCAGTTTCGTCTGCTGCTGATACATCAACTCGAGTGTCGGCAGCAGGTCAGGCGGTTCTCCCTTCTGGTTACGCTCTGCGATTTGCTGTAGAATTTTACCACACTGCACAACTCGTCCACGATCGAGCAGCCATCGAGGTGACTCTGGTAGATATCTTCGGCGAAAAAGTCATATCGCATGTAAGATATTAACTCTGTTGATCATTACAAGTGAAATAAGTTCATTGCTCAAATTTTAGATGAGAGATATTTTCTTCACAAGAACGATTTTAATTACAGTGATACATGAAAAGCAGAATGCGGTAACTTTCACAGTTAGGACACTAATGAGTTAAAATTGAAGGAAGTACTGAAGAGGGAAGTCATTAGGGTTTAAAGACAGAAATGCAAATTAACTCTGACATAATATGATATCCAGTGAATGCGGGAAAAGTAGAAGTCCCTTTATTAAAAGACAAACGATAGTTTGTACATGAATAAAATGATACTTTGACCTTAAGATCCCCCAGTTAATACAAGAATAAAATTATTCATTAAAATTAAGATCCCCAGTTAATACAAGAATAAAATTATACATTGACGTTAAGATCCCCAGTTAATATAAGAATAAAATGCTACTTAGACATTAATATCACCAGATAACACAAGAATAAAATGGTACATTGACCGTAAGATCCCCCTATTAATACAAGAATAAAATGGGTACTTTGACCTTAAGATCCCCCAGTTAACGCACATCTAGAATTCGTTTTAGGGACATCAACCCAAGGCCATGCTGGACGCACCACCTCTGACGGCGACCAAGTGCTACCCACCAGCGACCCCGGGAAATGAAAATTTCGCAAGGCTCGAACCTACGGCCATAGTTCTTCTCATCTTGGTGTCGCTTCACTACGCGAACAGCGGTGCTAACCACTGCGCTACAGTGAAGCTAACCACTGCAATGAAAATTTCGCAAGGCTCGAACCTACGGCCATAGTTCTTCTCATCTTGGTGTCGCTTCACTACGCGAACAGCGGTGCTAACCACTGCGCTACAGTTGCGCTTAGAGTAGAACCAGGCTAGCTGTAGCATCAATATACTGGTACCTTCTCTTATAAGAAATAGTGAACTTTTTGGCTATTTCCTTTACTTTTAAATTCCTGGTGAATTGCGACTTAAGCAGCCAAGTGATGTTAATACTGGTACCTTAAGTAGATGAAAAAAGCTACCGACGGCAGATAGCAGAGGGCACCAAGTTTCTTCCAGTGGTTGACAAGCCACGCGAGCAAAGCCAGCAATCCAAGACCGATGGTGATGCTGATGGAGCATAAGGCCGCCGTGCGCCCTCGCATGCGATCAGAACTCAGCTCCACAACTGTGGGCCAGTGGAGGAATATCAAAAGACGGAAGTGGAAAGTAGAGAGTTCAAAGAAAAGTATGTACGCCGCTCTGCTCTGGTGGGAGGAGGGGGATGGGCAGATGCTGAAAACACTAATATTATTCGCAAGGAATTAACTCACGTCTCCTCAATTTCAGTGTTTTATCACCGGTAGCAAAACGTACAAATTTGGATGTGCAGAAATGGAAGAACAATAAATAGACTGCGGAAACAGTGGGACGGGAGGCAAAAATAAATGCAACACTATACAAGAACTTTGACAATTCCCACACATCTAAAAATACAGTCACCAACAAACGTCCCCACGGCCAATAAACGGTCAATTTTATTCAAGCTATACTGTCGTCCAATACCGGTAATCGAGTGTGGTACTTACGGATGATGTACGGCAGTTGATAAAGAGCGAAGTATGGCATTGATGACAAAAACTTGGTAGCAGCAAAGACTTGCCAGTTCGGAGAGAACAAGTTCATCAAACCGAAAACTGAACTCAGCACCAGACACGTAAAGAATGTTGGACGTCTGCCATACCTGCCGAAAAAAATTTGACTTCGAATTTTTATGCATAGAGTCGACGATTAAATCTTCATTACCATTAAGGCTCATGAATAATAACTTGAAAATTTCTCCTTACTTAACATTTCCTTTCATATAGACGCTGAAAAAAATATTTTTAGTAAATGAGTCACACTTTCAAAATCTCAGGGGTAGGCGTTTCAAGTTAACAGTGACAAATTTGGAATTCATAAGAAGCAAAATGTTTGCGTGCATCGAGTAAGAAAAATAGCAACTTTCTGAGAAATATCACGCAGTATCTGTAACATAAACGAACTCAAAACCGGGCACAAAAATATCACTCAGGAATAACCTGTCTCTGCCCGACCTGTCAGCCATGAAGGAGAAGAGCAGAGTACCGATGACATTGGCGGCGACTGCGCTGCCGAAGATAAGAGGCACGACGTAGGCGTCATCACAGACCAAGTTGTAAGTTGTACTCGCTGTCGCCTGCCACGCACTGTGGTCATACACCGTCCCATACTGGCAACCTACCGTCAGATTTTAAATCTTAAATTCATCGTTATGGTTAGTAGACATCTAGACTGTTGCTTTAAATGTTTTTTTTTTGCAAATTTTATCAGCTGATAAAATTTCTGCTCCAATCACACCAACTCTGTGTGTTGTAAAGGCGGCAATATTAGGCGCTCTAGATAAACGTGTTGTAAACGAGTACGTGGCATTTGACGCAATAGGTACACTCATTCACGGCTCTACACATGTAATTATGCGTGGCAGTGCACAGTTGGTTATTTTTTGTGTCAAATTTAAGGGTAAATAGTAGACTAGTGACTAGTAAGCCATCCCAGTCCGTTCGTATTCACAATGTGGCGATTAAATCAGAAAGGAGACGTTATATTTACTTCCATTATAGGTTTAACTTTACATGCGTGCTTGACATTTATATAGTTATGTTTTTTTAACCTTTACTGTATTTTAAAGAGTCCCTCTTTTCAGCTGTTAGCTGTCACTGTGTTCTTAATTGATTCAACTAAACACAATTCAAATATTTCGATTTAAAGTCACAACTTTACATAATTTTCTGTTCCAAATATTTTATCTTTATTCCAAGGGCCCAACCCACAATCTGCATCACTCACTGGCAACTCACATGGCCCTCCCTCATCACTCACTGGCAACTCACATGACTTCCATCACTCCGTTGCAAGTCACATTAGTAGCATCACTCACTGCCAACTCACATGGCCTTCCCTCATCACTCACTGGCGACTTATACGACCTGTCTCGCTCACTGTTAACTCACAAGACCTGCATCACTCACTGACGACTCATATGGCCTGCATCACTCACTGACGACTCATATGACCTGCATCACTCACTGGTGACTCATATGACCTGTATCACTCACTGGTGACTCATATGACCTGCATCACTCACTGACAACTCACAAGACCTGCATCACTCACTGACAACTCACAAGACCTGCATCACTCACTGACAACTCACAAGACCTGCATCACTCACTGACGACTCACAAGGCCTGCATCACTCACTGGTATTGGCGTAAGGGTCGATGGCGATGTTGGTGATGCCGGCGCTCGGGTCCTGCGTTATCGTAACATTGCGCATGAGGCAGCGACTGAAGCGAACTCTGCCGTCGTCGCTTCGCGTCCTGTCATAATACCAATAATAATAAAAATAATAGCGGTTTCAGCGTTTATTAGGCCTTAGGCTTGTCGCCGACTCTTAACATCGCAGAACATTCACAGCTTGTTGCGGTCTCAAACTTGCAGCTCACTGCTACAATTCTGCTGTGTTTAACCGCCCGGCCTCCTCGCCGATTCCGGCCAGAAACTGGCGCACAGAGCTGGGATCGAACCCGCGCCTCTCTGCGCCAATCTTGATACTCTGAACTTTAACCACAGGGCCACCCTGCCCAGTTAATTAACAGCAACTAATGATTAACTAATAACGTATAGGATAATTAACAGCAACTGAGATCGTTTTATCCTGGGAGCTGGCAATTCTGTTATTCATAATATAACTTTATTATTAAGATATCAATAATTTACGATAGATCATCTGAACAATCATGCAGAAACTTTAGAAAGGTGCATTGCGGGCAATTGGATTCCAGTGAACCTGATTCATTCTGGCGGTAAATACTAGAAAAGTGCATTTAAACGATTATAAATAATTAAGCATTAATAATCTTGACGAAAATCTGACGAATCCTGTCTATTTCTTTGTTTGTAAATTGTTATATTCATATATTAATTGTTGTAAATATTCATGCATTTTCTGGACACACACAGGGCGAAGCAGAAAATATTATCGATACTCCTGTGTCTTCTTGGTGTGTAGGAAAACAAATAAGCAACCTAAATGTCGTGGCGTACGCTTCGTTTAACAGATGATTCAATGGGATGGTAAATATTACTACGTTAATTTAGAGATGGTGTGTGGATGATGATGAAAATGGGCACATCACCGACATGAACGGGCATTACTGAGGAATGTTGGCGCGAAATGTTGGATTAGTTTTGCTTGCAATACTAAAGAAGGTTGGGGGGTATTATTTTTACTGGTTCTAATTATTATATTATATTATATTATATTATATTATATTATATTATATTATATTAATTATATAATTATTACGGGTTGTCATTATTGATATTATTTTCACTTGATGCACGACTGCTACTCGTACTGGCTGCTCACGGGTCATACTGTTGCTGGTTGCTGCACGGCTCTGTTATATGCAGCAAGTTTCGAGGCCTAAATGAAGCTATAGCAATCCTAAGTGAAGGATTTTTAATAAAGTCTCGCTGAATAGTCAAGTGACATATCGCTAAATTTGTTCTCATATCGGATTCATTTGCCCATGTATATTAAACCCTCGCCATCGTGCCTTGAATCATGATAGGATTCTTTAAGGAATTTATCGACGAATTTGAATATTGTTAGGAGCAAGTGGACATCAAATGCATGTAAATACTACTTGGACAAATAATTTATTACATGCCTTACTTCATGCTCTATAATTTGAATTATTTGTTTTTTTTTTATTGGTAACGATGTCAATGAAGTTAAGTTTTCTTTGCTTAACCATGACGTCATAGTCTTATTCATTTGTTATGGAATCTGATTACAAAATGTGCTCACCAGGGTATTGTGATCTTCCTCCACAGCGATTTTGAAACATTAAAAAGCTCCCGCCCGGGCACTTTGCAATGATGGTCTGGCGTCGACAGGAGCAACCGAAGTGACGACGAGCCGAAGGGGATGTAGAGAGACAAGGGAAGAAGCACCGCGTACAAAAGAAGGTTTTGATGTCGTCCTTCATCACCGACTTCTTTGAGGAGGCTTCCGAATTTCGGAACTGGAATGCCTGCTGCTCTGCGAAGCGATCGACTGGATCTGCTTGCCCGGTTGAGAGTGTGCGCCATATGGATTTTGTTTCTATATTACGGAACACTAAAGTTTTTTTGCTCGAATCCCGGTTGTGAGACCAAATATTTCCTTATTTGGTTCATTTCCCCTCATTTTAATTTGCAGATCATATATAGTTTCAATTCCAAAGCACATGTAATTCTTTCGATCTGAAACTAAAAATGAACTTCTCAGGAGAACCGGCCGTTATGCTATTTCTTATTCTCAATGGCAATAATATATCATCTCATTTTTTAATATAAGTGAAGCTGAAGGTAGAATGTTTGTCAACCAATTTTGAATCTTTTATTAACCAATCCGAAGCCTATAGAATGCACCACTTCAGAATAAGTTATTTCTAAAAAAATTGAAGCTTATTTCCATTGAGTAGAACGACTTTGAGTCCGTACATTATTAACCTTGGCTTCTCCGTACACACTTATTTAAAAGTACAAAACAAGATAACAAAGTTTTGAACTATGCATTATTCAACTCTCGTGCGGATATGGCTACTCCAATACAAGCTCCTCAATGTATCTAGAAAATTAACAAAATTATAAGGACAGGCTTCATTCTTCATAGAAGGACATGTCAATCAAGTTTCTGGCTTTAGTTGTGAATTTGTTAGACGCGATTTTATCAGTCATAATAATGTCATAATTTACCACCGAACATGTTTTAGTTGCCTGATTATCAATCAGCCCCTGATTATCAATCAGCCCCTGATTATCAATCCGCCCCTGATTATCAATCAGCCCCTGATTATCAATTAACCCCTGATTATCAATCAGCCCCTGATTATCAATCCGCCCCTGATTATCAATCAGCCCCTGATTATCAATCAGCCCCTGATAAGCCCCTGATTATCAATTAGCCCCTGATTATCAATCAGCCCCTGATTATCAATCAGCCCCTGATTATCAATTAACCCCTGATTATCAATCCACCCCTGATTATCAATTAGCCCCTGATTTTTAATTGACCATTTGCTGGGTCCCTTGTGCTAAATATCTATATGAAGGACATCAAACTTGACGAGTCACTCATCGACAACAGATAATTGTTATATGCTGCCGCGTGGCCGTAAAGGATGAGAATATAAAATAAAGAAAAACTCTCATACTAGCAGCTGCCTGACGTTCTTGTGCTGGGATCTCAACGCCTTCACAGATAAGTAGCAGGAACAGATTATCTTCTCATATTTGTACGTAATTATCACTCATTGTTCTCATAAGCGTTGATCTTTTATAATTATGATCGTTTTATAATAATTTTCTGTTCGCTGGAAGTGTAATGACTTCCAAAAGATTTAAAATGTTCTGAAATTGCTTAGTAAGCATATATATTTCAAAACTGCTAATCCACCCAAATCATCAATGCAAGGTTGTTGAATCTCTTTCTCAACAGAGAATTTTAAATTTTATTCAACTATGTCAACAATTCAACTAGTCACTAATGAAAAACACAAAAGCCACAACCATAGTATGAATAGGCTCAGTTTAGAGCCTAAAAAGAAAATATTTCACTATTAAATCAATTCCTTTTCAATTTACGTTCATTTATCCACTTTACTTCGTTGAGTAAACGACGTCTCTGGAAGCGCGACACTACAGTCGTCTTGTGTCTCCAGCAGCGATCATTCCTCGTAACTGCAGTTGGACTGAAGCGAGCTAAGTCTCCTCTAGGCATCCATGTCCAGAGTTGCAACATTAAAACTGCCTCGTTGTTCTACAAACGCTTTAAGTTCGATATTTTGAGTTGCAGATCACGCGTGCTCTAGTCGGAGCTGCGTGAGTGGAGAGCTAATTCAGCGCCCTGGCCAACTAACAATAAACAGTGTTGCAACGGCCAACTGGCACCTGCAGTTTCTAATACTTTTGCGATCTATTACATCAGTACTTGCCTCCCGCATTTTTCAGTGCCAATAATTTAGTGTATTGTCCACAGGATATTATATTTTTAATAAATGAGTGTTGCAAGCGAAGAGGTGTTATTCTTAAAATTTTACAAACATAAAACCGATCAATCATGATAGGTAATATATAAACTATTCGGTTAGTCACGATAAATTTCAGTGAAAACAAAATTTGACTTGCACCTATCGCAAATTGAGCGAATGAGGCTATTTTGCATATCACAGTTATACCAAAATTGAAAAACTAATATTATTTTTTCGAATTCAAAATTCGAATTTTGCTACTCTATACACTTAAACCCCGATTCTGATGAATTTTTTATAGTTGCCTCATTGGCCTTACAAATTTTATGTCAAATTCCTGCTTCAAATTGTTTTCCTGCTCTAACCAGGCAAGATTTGAACGTGCATCATAATCTTGATAAAACAACTGATTTCATTAGATTGCATTGAAATATAATCCTATCATCTCACATGCTTAGCAATTTTACTTTCTAATAGCTTGGTCAAATTATATATAGTTCTAGACGTTGTTGTAATTCATGCGTCAAATCTGTCCAAAAAGTCTTTATGTGCTCCATATTTATTCAACTGTTGTTTGTGCACATGTTGGCATTCTGTGAAAGTTCCAGTAACATGCCAATTGCATATTATCAACAATTCAATTAACGATGTAATGCAACAATTGACTGGATCTAACTAAGACGGTTTAACACCAAAGAGCATTCTCTCTCTTAATCTTTAATAAAATAAATTTTGATGAAAGAAATTATGTTCACTCAACACTAAAAGTCATTTAAGGTCAAAGGAAAAATTAGATTTCTATACGGGACTTATCACGACAAGTTCTCGCGTCAGAAAACAAGAGTCAGACACAATAACAGACGATTAGTGTCAAACTCTGAGCTTTCGTGCAGGACTTGCTTTGTCTGGGAGGATGTATTTTTTAGCCCAGCGCCTGAGTACATCAGCAGCATGTACATTGCACATCCCACAGCCCAGCGCCTGAGTACATCCGCATCTTGCAAATCCCACAGCCCAATACCTATAAGTACTGTACTTCAGCACATCAGCAGCATGCACAATTGCAAATTGCACATCCCTCAGCCCGGCACCTGCAGGGGTACATCGGTGGCATGAATATCCGATAGAGGAGGAGCTAATGAGATGGCGAGCTTAACTTTAATCATCATGTGTTTTTGTTGACTTCTGAAGACGCTACAGACTGAGTGCAAAGCTACCGGTCTAATACACTTATCACCGACGTAAATAGAATACTTTTGCCGTATTCCTTCGATCTATAGGTGAGTAACGTTATGTAACGCATTATTAAACTGGATTTGCGTAGATGTGGATTCTTTTTTTCGACCACTGAGCTATGATTCAAGTAAATAATTTCTATCCAGTTCCAACGAAACACAGATTTATCAGTCGTTAAGACGATATTTGCCAAAATCCTTGGCTCAATGTACACAATAGGTGTCTACACGATGACGTGTTTGAAATCAAAGTAAGCTAAGTGGTGGTCTCTCGAGCAGTTACGCACAAAGGAAAGAAAAACTCTACAGCATCCATGCCGAACTTACGCCTGCTTCGACTGCCCGATGAAGTGAGCCTGACATTAGAGGCAAGTGTGGCCTTGGTGCACCACCAGCTCCCGGCAGAAATTAGGGCCTTGCTGCGCTATCCAAATTCCTGAAAAAAATTAAGGTCTTCGATAGCTAACCAACTCCATGAATAAATTAGGGCCTTGGTACTCCATCGCACAGCCAGCATAAATCAAGGTTTGGTGAGCCTTCCCAAGACTGAAAAAATTTTGGTTTGGTGAGCAATCCCAATGACTGAACAAAATTTTGGTTTGGTGAGCCATCCCAATGACTGAAAAAAATTAGGTTTGGCATTCAATCCCAATGACTGTAAAAATTTAGGTTTGATTAGCCATCCCAATGGCTGAAAAAAATTAGGCTTGATGAGATATCAAAATGCCTGCAAAATTTAGGTTTGGTGAGCCATCCCAATGGCTGAAAAAAATTAGGCTTGGTGAGCCATCAAAATGCCTGCAAAATTTAGGTTTGGTGAGCCATAGCAATGCCGAAGAATTCAAAGCACGTGCAGCGCTGAGCCAGAAAAGATTTCGTTGAATTTCTGTGGTAAGCAGCAACACAACTCAAGTCAACGCCTACAAAAGATTATTAGAGTGATTGTTGCTTAGGGTTTTTTCAATTCAAGTGTTAATTTAGCTAAAGAATTGCCTATAATACGCCGAATATTTTGATTGATGACTCTTGTACATTACGGATAGTGACACCAAGCACCGAAAAGTTCTTAGCAAGTAAACATTTGGCCATTAAACTAACTAACTCCTTTCTATAAGACGCTTTAAATTTCGTCTATTCAAAAAAGTAGTAAGAACTTCTAAATGTCCAAAGTGGCTAAGTCTGATTTGTGCAACCAAGTGTTTAAATCCGACAATCCTATTAGGCAGAAAATACAGGAATTCCTACGTAGATTCATTAGCGTATACAAATCAACAGAAAGCAAGACACAAGATATTTTTCAAGAGTTTATTACGACTTAAAGAGAAGAATGTGTCGACGCTGTAACTTATTTATTCTCATAAAAAGCTCGAGAATAAACATTAAATGAATAACATCATATCTCTAGTGCGCCTTTACTACTTACTGGCAGTATGTACGTACTACCTACAACTCGAAGAGATAGACAAATATAGTTTTTTAAATAAGACGAGCAAACATAAAAGTCAAGAGAATATACCAATTAGAAGCAGACATAATTTCGCTCCCTACCTTCATGACGTCACGTTAACATTGCACTCAATAAAAGCAAATCTAATAAAATAATACGTTATAATCGACGGACAAGTGCAGCGTCTATTTCTCCATTAACTGATGCTTCAATATCTAAACTTAAATATTGGGTGTGTATAATTTTTTTTGCAGCTGCACAGAGAGGCATGTAAACTTGCAAGGCATTCAGAAAAGGTTTGTGCAGGAAAAGAACGAGCAGCAAAGGGAAATGCTGTGATGCCAGAATAAATAACAAAGACGAAGATGGCGTGACATGAGAGCGTTGCGAACAATCGTTCAACAAATTCGATACGCTATGAATGTGGTCACGTGTGCAAGCAACGTGCAGACATTGATCTTTAATAAGATCAATTACAATAAGAATTAGAAAATGTATTAAAAGTTTTGAACGTGAGCGTGAATTATAGAAGGAAGTTTGCGTAAATACCTATTTGAGATCAAACACGTATATGTATCAAATCTAGAAATTTTAAACTTCACTTGACATACAATGCGTATGTTCAGAGTCATGTAAATAGAAAATTCATGTTCAGAGTCATGTAGAAATAACATTCACTTGTCTACGCAACTGAACACAATAATTGAGTAAAAAGGGCATAAATAAATCAGTACCAATAATCCAAGTATAACAAACACAAATGTTACTACTTATAAAGATGTCTCATCTGAAGTCACAAGTCAAGTAATGTGAAATGTCCTGATCGTCACAAATTTATCCAACCGAAAATCGCTCATCAGCCACGAGGAATGGGAGGTCTCAATTGACCAGCCCATTAATGCTGGCTAGCAAGGAGCAACCACCTCTTCGAGACGAAGAGCATAAATTGAAAAGATACTTGTAACACAAAAAAACATAACACGCAACATTGTTCACTCGTACGAGAGAGACATAGATACACCAGGTATCCTACTTACAATAAAACTCAACTAAGATCCGACCTCAGAAACCTCGAGCATGTGGTGGGGCGTCCGGGAACAAAGACCCAAGATATACTCCCTCGAGAGGAAAAGGCAAATTCAACTACTAAAATAAACTATGAATCACAGATCAGACCGCCATGAGAATTATACGACGAACTAAAATTGTTAGTACAGAAGGAATATTGAGGGATGATGGAGCCGCTGCCACGGCAGAACGTAACAAATAAAACTTCAGAAGGTCGTTCAGTAGAGCAAACGCGTAGGGATACGAGCAGTAGTCGCTCGCATATCTGGACATCCTATTACACGTAGCAATACATGTAATATAAATAATGAGAGATTTGTATAAAATATAATCTAAATAAAAATAAAGTTCAGTTTCAAAACAGATCAATAATTCAAGCAGCATCAATAAAGTAACACGAGTGAACAATGAATCGATGCTACCCAGACGCCAATCAAACACTTAAATTTTAAGAAATTCTCGCAACTCTCCGACGCACGAACGTCATCGGAGAACACTACAACAATCAATTTATTTTAACATAAGCAGAACTCGTACAAACAAGAACAGACTGGATACCAGCTAGTGAACTACTTCGAGATACTTAGATTATTTCAAACAACGACTTTTTCCTGTAATTATATTTACTCATTCATGAAGGATTAAGGTTTGCGACGGATGCCCTGATCCAAGCTAAGCAGACAACGGTTTGTTATAGAGCGACATGGAGCGTCTACTCAGGTGATAACCTCGCACTATCTCAGGTCGATTGCAACCCGATCCAGTTTTTGATCGGTAATTTACTCATGGTCGTTCGGAAATAGAAATAATTGTGGACAGAAGTGGATGCTGGAGCAAAAAATTAATATGGAACATTCAGCCCACAGCCTACCGTCTACTGGACCAAGACAAAGAATAGTAATATCTAACTAACAGATTAATTCAATTGGAGTTGATAAATCTTGTTCCTATCATTAGCAAATTCAGAATTACCGGTACAATATCACCCTACAGTGTTTTTAATGCAAACGAACATGACAACTTTATCGACCACCGCTCAATCCATTACTGTTGATAATACAAGAAACTTGGACATTAGGGAAGCTAAGTAAGAACTAAGTATCTTTAGGCATGACTTTTTTTAAGCAAGCAAGTTTTTACAAACATTTTATATTTTTTATTCACACACTTTTCATAGTTTTTGGTATTTTTTGGTCATTTTCCCTTAAAGCTAAACCTGTTTTGAACTTTTTCATGATTTTCTTCGTATCTAAATGTGATTGCGAACTCTTGCATCGTCCACAGCGTACTTCAACCCTCCACCGAGCTGGATTTCGAGAGAAAAATTCTATTAACAAATTCCCTACATGCGAAACACTTACGCAAACTAAAAGATAACAAAATACTTCATTAATAGTCGGCAACGTGATCTTTTTGCGTTAATATCAATTTGAAATTAGGCTGAAAGCATTTTTCAAGTAAATGGGTAGGTTTGAAGTTTTGATCATTTCAAATATGTGCCGAATTTCGTTAATAAAAAACTAGTAAATGTGCTGCTAGGTGTTGAGTTGAAATACATCAACTTTAACTGAAGCACAAACTCGTAGAACACAACTGACTTTAATATAAGAACATAACTCAATTGCAGCTTGATATATTTTCTGGGCGATCTCTCCACGAAAACTTGATATCACAAACTGTATTATCAGATTCCTGTTTCATGTCTTGATAAAACTATCGTTTTAGCGCAACTGCAGTGGACCAAAAAAAAGAGAAACTCGAGAAATTCGTGATATTTGTGCAATTCTGTTACTCTTGATGGGCTGAAGATAAATCAGATAAAACACCTCCATGAAGTTTTTTGCTAAAAGAACATCAACGTACTGTAGAATTAAATGCTTCTCTTAGTTGAAAACAACCCATAAGTAATATGATATTATTTAGAGTTGAACATGTGAAATTCAATATAATTTCTCAATGTTTTTAGAAGACTTTATCAGTGAGATTGAAAAGATACATAGTTTTCCAAAGCATTTTCAATGCTCAAATAATTCACGCATTTTTATAACTGAGAGATTCACGCGCTTTTCTCTCGACGAAACAGACGACAGTATATATGCATACTTCATTATTCATCTCCCCTGTGGACGACGCGACCTTCCTTCACTTAAGAGGAGGCAGCACACAGTTCCAAGCAACTCTTGCAGCACTAAACATTATGGCACTTGCGGTTATTGTTTGCACAGGAGTTAGTGGACGGAGTTAGGCGGTCGGAGCGTCGTAAACGAGACCTGCCGCTGGCCGCGACTTCTCGGATCAGGTTGGTCTTGAGCAGAGCCTTGCGTGATAGCTTCTCTCGTTCCTGCTTCTGGTGCGCCTGGAAAGTTAAAAAAATATTAGAGTTCAATCTAAACAGATATTAAACTGTGAATATTAAGCTTATCGACGTTATTACAACTTCACAAAACGTCTATAGACGATATTACAACCTCACAAAAAGTAATAGAATATATCACATGCCTGAGGAAAACCATTGAGAACTTGAGTGAAACACAAGCCTAGAGATACTCGATCATTTAAGATCGTTGGAAAAGAAAGTTTATTGGAACCTGATGGTGATCGGGCTCCAGTTCAATGGCTTTCAACGATCGTAAGATGATCGTTTCTATTTCCTTGGATGCATGTAAACCCACGAAAGTCTACTCACCTTTTGTGCAGGTTTGAGTTCCTCGAGGAGCATCGCCAGCTCGTGTTCTCTCTCCTTCTGGCGCAATTTTTCCTCAGGATCCTGACGGCACAAGCACAAATTAGAATCCAACAGTTTAATACTATTCGAACAATGTGTGTGCGTCGTGAGCACAACGTGTAAAATAAACTAATTGGTCGCACTATATCAAACTGAATTAGCCATTCTAATTTCAATAACTAATTAGCCATTCTAATTTCAATAAACTATCAGAACGAAGATGAAAGAATTGGATTAAAATCTAGGGAGAAAGTGTATACAACCAGATTGGCGCAACTGTGGAGAATATTAATTTTTTACTACAGAAAAACGAACAAGAAGAAGGCCAGACCAATTATCGAAACAGTACTAACAAAAAAATGAAAAGGGATAATAAGACTTATAATATCAGGAATTAATTGATACGTTCCGCCTGTAGATATTAGCTCGGAATCACAAGCGGCAGGCGATCGCCGATACATCTTTGTCAGCTACAGCATCAAGCAAAGCTCCAATTTTGTGATCGTGAACTGTATTTCCTCTAACATACAAAAAGAACACACTACTGAACACAAGTTATCCGCTGAAGCAATCCCACTACCATACCGTGTTACGTTTCTGAATCTTATGAGTACGTTGAATAACGCCTAAGCTTCAAGTTCCGCCAGAGTTCTATTAACATAAATAACTTTGCATAAGCTGAGTTATAACTCCAGAACCAGGGTTACTAACTTCCTATCCCATTTAATATAAAAATTTACGAGAAAATTAATAGATAAAAAATAATTTTATATTAATATACGATTTTAATAGAAAAATTTGTGGAATCATTGAAGATATCATCATCTATTTCAAAGCCAGTAAGCATTCATTCCACGTATTTTACATAGCATCCTATAGAAAAAGCTGCACAGAAGTTCTATATCACTAAAAATTTGCAAGTAGAAATAATATGGTTGACAGCAATATTTTATATGATATGGTCCGAGTGCAAACATGCATGCTTGTACACAAAATCGAAGGCTTCTTCATCAATTTTAATTCGATTTTATGTGCTTTTAATTATTGTTGGAATATTTAGAAGCATCGTAAGATGTTTTCAGATGCTCACTCAATCAAAATTATTGAGAATTGACAGCTGTATAGAATCATTTTTCGTCATAATCTCCCGAGTATGAACGCGCACGTTGGTCGATGATTTCCGACAAGAACAATTTCCAAGAAAGGGCAGCAGCTCAGCACAAACCTCCGTCCGAGTGCAAGTCTTCTTTGAATCTCGATGAGGAGGAGACTTGTATTGCAGCGAGTTTTTCTCTGTTTCAGGAAGATCGTCCAATCTGTTGTCGAGTTCGTGTACAACCTCTGATTCTTTTCTCGCCACTGCTCGCACAATGATCAGTTTAGACCGGTAAATTCAAGCAAGTCAATAGTCACACGTTAGCTCATTGAAAAAGGACGACATAAAACACTTTCTATTTTATATTGAACACCCTAAACTTTTATGAAACACTAAAACACTTTATGTCGTTGAAAAGATGACATAAAACAAAAATGCAATTCTTAGAGTAAAGCTTTTTGAGATAAATTTCAGCATAAGGCTGCAGCAAATATTATACCGTGCATTTCATTGAATTAAAACCTATAACTAAAAATTAATGCAACTGAGAGGTAAATCAGACAAGCGAGCTCAAATAGCACACAGGAGCAGACGAAACTCACCGTGATTTTCAGATTTCAATTTCTTAGGAGCATTGCGCGCAGACTTCGGTAGAGCTTCAACGACTCTACCATTGCCAGAAAGAACGACCCAATCCTCTTCGACATCGGAAGGACTCAGAGGTGTCTGCAGCCCTTCCTCCAGGTCAGAAGTGACCTCCATGGACTTGAGGTCGCCGAAGATCTCGTCAGGGGCCTGGCAGCTCGGAAAGGGCGCCATCGACTCCTGGGGCTTCGAGTTGGGCGAGCCCCATAGGTAATTGGTGATTCCAGAGAACATCTTGGATTCTGAGGAAGAAAAAGTCTGTTAAAATATTTCAAGGCAACGCACTCTCTTTGTGAGAATTCTAAAAAAATGAATGCAGTCTCTACAGCTCCTACTATATTCCTATTGTTTTGTTTGAAAAATCTGAACATATGTAGAAACAAAAGGTAACTTCCAGAGAACATCTTGGATTCAGAGGAAGAAAAGTTTGTTAAAATATGTCAAGGCACGCACTCTCTCCGCGAGAATTAAAACAAATGAATGCAGTCTATACAGCTCCTACTATATTCCTATTGTATTGTTTGAAATTCCCTGAACATATGTAGAAATAAGAGGTAACTTGCGAGTAACCAAATGTAAAGCAGAGTTTCGAGAAATACCAGTAAGCAATAAGCACGAAATGAATAGTACGGGAGCTATACCATAACTTGTACATGAAGTCATTTGAATGTTTTGGGAATATCTGAGAATATCTCGTTTAACCCGCCTTTTACGTCTCGGACACACTTTTGTTTTTATCCCATTTCGAAGATGGCGACAATATAGTTTAAATCTAAATATGGTATCATTATAATATAAAAATTGTTCGTAAATTATCCTAGTTGAAGACTATCTCACATCTGTCTTCCCAAAATAAAAGCAATGTTTACAGCGCAGCGAGAGGGAGCTGACGCTGGGTTTGATATGGGGGTAAGTTGAGGGGGAACGAACGAAACGTTGAAGCTTAAAAATAAACAAAGGAAAAGTGGGGCGGGGGTAGTAGGTCATTGGAAGGGCGCAATGACACGATAGAAATAACTTTCGATCGAGGACAAATGTTGAAATATCAATATCTTTAAAAAGTAATAGAAGCAAAATTTAGGATCTCTTTGAGCTGTGTTTCTTTATTCGTGAGATCGTTAAAGATTAAACGCGATAAACGTAATCGTGAACGCAGCAGAGACGGAGCAACAAACACAAAGGAGCATTGTCCTCTGGCGCAGTGCAGCTGCGGCGAACGACGGTTGGACGAGTCGCGGGCATGTAGCTAAAGTAGCTTGTGCTTCCAACGATTTAAATTCGCAAAAAAGGTCACGAACTCACGATTATTGTGGATTATACGGTTAAATGCGAATCTCAATGAAATTTATATGAAGAGCTTACAAAACGCGCCAAAATCATGCACACCTGCATATTTTAAATTAGCATAGACACTAATAGTTATAGGAAAGATTAAATTGAGCTCGCTTCAAACTGAATCAAGGTTGCAACAGTTGTCAGCGTACTATAGTGAAGAAATATATCAGCATTTATCACTCGGTGAGTGGATTTGTGCATAAAAGTAGTTCTCAAGTCTAAACTAGGTAGATCAATCGAAACAGCATTTATTATTCATATCGTTTTGCTATAGTTTCTGATGAAACTAAATTTTATAGAAAATTCCAATCACTTACTCTTAATTTTTCTCATCGTTGGAAACACCATGACGGCGAGCGTGATATTTAACCTAGTTTTTATCTCACAGTGTAAGTTGTCTGAAACTTTATTCAAACAATTTTTACTGGCATACGGCCAGCGCAGTTCTCTGCTTCACTGATGTTAGCTCAAACCCAAATTTGAAGGACCACAAAATCGAAAGATGACGCCAACTAACTTCCTTTTAAAGATTTTAGGACGTAAATCAAAACTTGATATCAATCATACTTTCTCGGCAAGATCGAATGACAGAAGACACCAGGCCTAAACGCTAACCTCCGCTCGCTTCGGCCACCAGTCGGTTACTGCGTACGCCGTACTGCGTAGTAACACAACTAAAACGCTGTAGGTGCGGTGACGAAATAAAGGACGAAACAGCCGGAGGGTGAAAATCTTAGTTCACAGAAAGCGGTTGCGTCCATGACGTGCATGACAGCGGGTGGAAACGTAGTCCAGATATCCTCAACAGTTGATGCGATATCGGAAGAAAGAATGGCTTAGCGGTTCTTGCCGAACAGGAGGAGATTTGTAGTTACAGGAGAAAAGTAAGAGAGGTCAGTTTGACTCCGTTACCTCGTCCGTCTCTCTTCTGCAGTACACAGCTCTTATTTTCAATGTAAGCAACAACAGAATATACATTTTTCACATCGATCCACAAAAAAAATGACTCTGGAGAAACCATAATAGAGCAAAATCAGATTCTACTTTCGAAATTCCAGACTTATTGGCAAAGTATTTGCGCATGTGTAGGAGCAACTTTTTATTAAAGACTATATTCAGAATCATGTGTGTATATTATAATATTACTAGGTCATCATTTGCGACATGGTTGATTCTTGCACAGTAACAGCACGAGAAATTACTCAGAATTCATTTAAAACATCCTTGAGTTTGTCAATTGTAGAGACAAGTGTGAACGTTGACCCTTGCAATGTTCGTGGCCAACTCTGGTCACGGACATCATGATCACAGAAAACATTTCTCTGTCTAGTTGAACACAACGGTAAGACGGCTTAATCTGCGGCAGCGTGCATCCGATTTATGTATGTACATTCATTGAATTAAAATTAAAGATGGTTTGATTAATTTTTATTCACTGTGTATGAAGAGGATAATAGATGAAAAATACAGGAGATTATATTGCGGCATATAGTAGAATAAATTCAGTTTGCCTTACATCTACGAGTTTAATTAACGTGGGCGGCACGGTATCTGATAACATCCAAATTCGATAAAACTAATGAAAAACTACCTTGACTGCCAGTCAATGTTCGACCACGTGTTAAAAAAAGTGAGCATTTTCTGATATAGCTGCACGAGTTACCAATGCGTTACTACAAAAAAGGCATACATACCTTTGGACGTAAAACTATTCCAGGCAATCAATTGACGCAAGTGTTAAAGCGGGCATATCAAGACAGGTGTTCAGGAGCACGCAGCCTTGCGACTACGCTACCAGAACTATGTACTATGTTAATATTGGCACGAGAAATGTCAAGTCATCACAACACGTGTGGAGAACGTGCAGTAATAAATCTTTCCCCGATGTGATTTTGGCATGCAAGTTTGAATAATACGTTTGTAGGTAAACGTGTTACCCAATATACATGAGTAAATACAAGATACATTTTATGATATAAAATCTAGGGATATGAACAATAAGCAACTATCAATATCAATAATTCCCGACTGTAATATAACTTATGACATAATAACAGACTCGTTTGAGGGTACTTACGACACGAAAACGGACTTATTAAAGGGATTCGCGACGCGATAACGGATTTATTTAGGATACTTACGACACGATAACGGACTCGTACGTGGGTATCTGATCTAGCATGACTGAGTTTAATTGAGCCTTGAACAGAAGCGGCCACCTGGTGGCATCGTACGCCTCAAATAGCGTGAGTCTCAGCACGTCCAGCTGAAATTATCCCTGCAGCTAATTATTCAATAAACATAATAAACGGTCAAGCTATTTACATATTTCAATCCGATCCCGATTTATATATAGGGCAACAGTTGGATGTTTACTGGGTTGTTTAGAAAACTTGCTCTTTTGTTTAGAAAATTTAATGTCGTTCAGGTACAGGAAGCATGGGACGAAAGATAACAGGATGGTCATGAGGAACGGAAGCCAAGGTAGCCACGCCTATATAGGGGTGGTGCTGTGCACTTGTTGGCAGCTGCACCTTGCAGTTCCGACCGAGACGCGGGATAAGAATGCAACTGCCAGATGCTCGAATTTTCGATGACGGCCTTATATCTTCGGTCACTTCTAGCGCAGGTCTATGAAAAATAACTAGCGGCAGATGATACTGTCATTTTGTCGTAATTATTGTCGTGTGTTTCTGGTGAGTGCTAAATACTGATTACCGATGTGGTTAAGAATGTTAGACTGTCTTCTAACCCGGTGCTGTTGTTTGCAACTGCAGGTTCCGCGCTGGCATACGACTGACAAAGCTGGCTTTAATGAATAAATTTGAAATTAAAGTACGAAATTTTAGAGCTCGCCCTCGAGCTCAAAACAATGGGAGTATCAAAGTTACTAACACACGCATTTTCCACAAGTAACTGCATGACGCATGTACTCAATGGATGATGGGATGATGGAGAAAAAAAACCTTTGTAATGTAATGTAGGATAGAATCAGTGTTTGAAAAAAACATTCATACCTACACTACGTCGTACTGAGAATAAGCCATAGGAATAAAATGTAAAGATCGGGTTCATACGGCCGGATCTCTTGTGAATCAAGTCACGAAAAGTACAAGAATCGGCAACAGGCCATATGGCCTATTTCTTCAGTGCCGACACTTCTATTCTATTCTAATATGACGCAGTATTAGTAGGCAGACTTAAGCTTAGGCCTACGCAAGCTCAACGTTGGGAAACCATGCGAGGTAAAAACCAAGGAGGGTAGGCTTGCGAGCCAAATGAAAAACGGCACACACATTCATAAATGCCAAAATGCGCACACGTACGATAAGTGAGACTGAACTTCGCATTATTTTCATGCCTCCGTCTATTAAGATTCAAGCATCACTATGAACATTGATAATTTATTATAATTCAATCAAGAGGAATCTAAACACGCAGAAATTCTGTTCTGATGTCTGATTAAAAATTTTATTTACAAACTCATTGATTTTATAACTGAGACATGCTGTAATAGCCTTTATTTTTAATGCTTCATCATACTTAATTATATAAGTTAAAATTATTCTTTTTATTATATACAATAAGCTTACAAGCTTTATTTCCGCTATAACTGTAGGATTGTAATTCTGTAGATGTATCATACTAAATCTATTGGATATATTTTGTACTCTCTCAAATCATCGAGATGTCCTCGTCGCGCTATCGTAAGTGCAACCTGGGACGGAGAGCTGTCGAAGGCAGTGGGGGGAATTACTTGTTCCTGCAAGCAAGGCTTACCTTGAAGGAGCTCGACAATCACGCAAGCTTTGCCATTATGGATGCAAGTCCTTGATGCAAGCCATCCACTTTTTGCCTTATGTCCAATATTTCCAGTGATGAATGTCGTACGCTGAATGCCTTACGACTCATCCCTATGAACCCTCAGTACAACAGTTACGTAACGGGATTGCAGTTGCTTACTTAACATTAATGAATAATTGAAATAAGAAATATTAACTATTCAGAGTCGCAATTAACCAATTTGTTCAAAAAGAGGATAAATACAACGTTACAGCTCCAACAGCGTTCAGCGGAACAGAAGATAATTGTATCGTTACAACAGTCATTGTGCAGTGTAGCGGGAATGGGGACAGGCACGAATAAAAATCCTTCAAACGCTCAGCGAAAGAGAGAGTTGAATCGCTAGAAGGGAACACCAGCGGTACGTACTTCTCAGTGAACTAGACTCGGGTCACTGGGTACGGTTGTGCCTCCTGCAATTAATGCAAAACCTCTCACTGTTCAGCGTCTGTTCTCACAGATCTTTCTGAGAGTTAAGAAATATGATTTAGTGTGAAAAATGTCAAATATTATTGTTCTCATAAGCCGACATATGCTCAAAAAGTCGCACTTATTGTGTGTCGTCAGCGACAGACTTGACCTCTGACAAGATCGATGTGTTTTTCGGGACTTTGGACCTCAAAACTTTACATACAGCCTTTTTGTTGATTCTTTAGTCTGCTGAGACAGCTCGATATGATGATAATTGCCAGCGCTGTCGTCAAATAATAAAATTACGAATTGCTCTGCTTGCTGTGACCTACATCATTACATCAGCATCTCCCGATATCCAAGGACTACATACAGTATATCAGCGCAGTGAATAGGATAGGATCCCATGATCATAAAGGGTGGGCTTATTTTCAACAAGATACCGTCACGCGCCGCTCACATGTTCACGTGATGATGTTAGGTTCACATGCACACATCACGCCGTTGGAGTGGCCAGCTGTGGAGTGCCCGCTCCTAGAGACCTCATGACGTCAGCAACGCCTGACAGTTTCCACACCACACTTCTTGCAGCATGCCTTGGCTGACGGCAGCTGTGGGGTGCCCGCTACTAGAAACCTCATGACGTCAGCAACACCTGACAGTTTGCACACCACACTTCTTGCAGCATGCCTTGGCTGACGGCAGCAGCGAGGTGTCAGTTCCTCGAGACCTGGTGACGTCAGAAGCGCCGCGTTCACGTCGCCGAAACAAAGCTTTTCCGGGACGTTGGTTTCCCGCAATTCTCGGTGTGAGCACACCAACATTTTTTTATTATCACTGCTTTTTTATTATCACGGCGGAAGTTTTTCTTCCTTTTTTTTAGCAAGCATGGTATGCATTAATTGTTTCGTTATTCAATATTAGTATTTAAATTCCTTTAGAATAGTGCATTAGCAAGAGTAAACAGCAACAAAAAAAAATCGTGGAGAACAAACAGGAAAGACACTTGTTTAGGTTATTTTTTATTGTATTTAATCTGAAATTAATTAATTCAATTCAGAAATCGTCGAATTCCCGCAAGCATAAGATCATTTTCAGGACCGATTTGAACGATACGCGAGCGGAGCACTCAAGTACTGAACACGTGCCAGCTCGCCCGACTGCTTCTAGTTTTCCTCTCCAGTATTTGCTAGTGCCTCCACCTGCTGTTGCATCTGTATAGCTTTACAGATAATACAAACAGTTCAGTACTTACTAGTATTAAATTCGTCACTATTAGATAAATTTAAAAAAGATTAGGGTAGTACTAGTAAAATTCAGATAGAAGCCTCCGATGCCTGCGTCACACACAAAAAAAGACGTACGTGAGAAATTCAATGC